CGTTAGCACGCTCCAATCCGAACGGGAAAGTCTGTTACAAGCAGTGGGGACATTAATTGGCTGGTGATTATCTATTCTAGCGAAGGAACTTGAATAATGATTCAGTGGAGCGGGAAAACCTTGAGCACTTGTCGGCTGTCGACCTTGCGCCGTGTGATCCGACCAAGTGACTCGGGCATGAACTTATTCTTCATCCACTTTTAGTACGCTCACCCTTAGCCGATTTGAATAATTAAACGGTAATAGAACCTGTTAATACCAAATTCAATTGGCTTCTTGTCCGTTTATAAATGTGTCTCGTAGCAAAGGTCAATCGAAGTGTAGATATCGAACTACCTACCTAACAATTTATGAGTCTGTCGGGCTACATAATCATGAGGTTTTTGAACGAAAATTTTATATCCCAAAAGGGTCAATGAAACTTCGGTAAGGTTGCCTTATAACTAAAACTTTTATATTTCCGTGTTACCTTTCATTAGCTCAAAGCAGGTACTTTTTGCTGTCGAACTTTTTCAACCGATTTGGCCTGCGATCGGAAAAAGTTAAGCAAATTTCGTAATGGCCAGTTGTAAGATGGGTGATGAAACATTTTGCTATGAACGGTTGCATCTGCTCTTGTTAGTACCTATCCACTTAACCAGAATGGGTCATTGTCCATTTGTCCTATTCCGTCCATAAGAAAGGCCGGTGCCTCAGCAGTTTCATCGGGGTATTACCGTTCGCGGACTCGTCACCACCTCGCCGAATCACCTCACGTCGAATCACCTCGCGGGTGCGTGGCCAGTCTTTACCACTGCCACTACATCCGAATACTTAACGCGCACTCCAAGGACCTTGGTCCTTGAAGTATTGTCTGGTTTTTACTGGATAGAGTACTGCTCATTTCATTGAAAACTCGAGTTGGGTGAAATGAGTAGGAACGAGTCCACAGATGCCTTCTTGCTCTTCTGGTGGCTGAAGCCTGCGTAAGGACATTTCCCAGACATTGAAAAAAAGGTGCGACAACAGTGGGGAGAATAAAAAGCTGATGATGATGATGATCATTGGTTTCTATCCCTTCCTCCTCACGCCACAAAGAACCCGAGTGATAAAAACAATAGTTCGTCCCCTTGACAAGCGTTAATTTAAGTGCAGGCTTTAGTGCATGAATAATTAATCAGATTACTATATTAACCCACACAATACTTTTGCGGCCAATCTATCTGAATATTGTATAGTCTAATAACTTTGCACTTTTTTACCACTTTTAAAATAACAGCAAAGGATTTTACCGCCTGCTTCCATACTTGGCGCCGTGCGTATCCTTTACGGTTTTTTTTTAATTTCGATCGACTATCTTCGGAAGCACTTTTAACCTAAACCTTTGTCTCACTTTAATACAAAAAGAAAAATAGACGAAAGATGCAGTTCTAATTTTCACCACCGGACTTTTTGGCGGGATCGGGAAACGTCACTTTAGCAGTTTTGTTTTTTTTTGTTAAAAATTGTTTTGTGGCGGATATTAGTGTCTAATAATGGTGGATTATTAACCACTAAGTGTTAGGAAACACACACAAGTGTTGGCAAGTGAAATAAAATAGGGGAAAGTGTCTTACGACGTTCCTTCAAGAAGTCCACGGGGAAGTTCCAGTAAATCCCCACACTTTTACTGAAACATAGGGAAAGGGGGATTGACTTGACTGCCACTTACTTTGACTTGATTTACTACTTTGACGATGAGTGCTAGAGTATTTGTAAACATTTTAACACTTGACATTGGCTAAATGCAGCCGTGCGAAGCTATTTAGAAAAAACAAAAAAATTCACCACCCGCACGTTGCGTCAGTTAGAAATGCGCGTCATTTTCTTATTAGAAAAAGTTTGCTTTATGTGTTGAAAAACGTTAAATGACATTCGTGCGGAATTGGTATTTACAAACTCGTGACTATGGTAACATGCGTCTACCCGTTTGTAATAACCAACTTAGCACACTAATATCATAAATAACTTATATAGAATGTTGTAAGTAATGAAAACAAAAGAAAAAAACCGCCCAAGTGCGAGTCGGACTCGAGCACGAAGGATTCCGTACCATTATCTATAAAACATCCTAGCTGAGCCCCGCGGTGTTACTCGCGGTTTATAAGGGATATTTTCCCGCAGTAAAACTTAGCCTATGTGTTAATCCAGGGTGTCAGGTAACTCCATACCAAATTTTATTAAAATCCCTCCAGCCGTTTAGATGTGAAGAATTAACAAACATACACACTAACACACTCACAAACTTTCGCCTTTATAATATTAGTGCGATATCGAGCAAATAACGGCAAGAAATCGCGTTAATTGTATGGGAGATCCACTTAAGTATTTATTTTATTCTGTTTTTAGCATTTATGGACACTATAATATGGCAACAGAAATACATCATCTGTGAAAAAATCACCTGTCTAGCTATCACGGTTCATAAGATACAGCCTGGTGACAGACAGACAGACAGAGGAATCATAATAATAGGTTTTACCCATTAGGTACGGAACCCTACACCGACCGCGACGCATAATTAAGAACAATAAATTCGCGTTTCGTTTCCATATTTCTTTTTTTAATTTTCGTTACCATTTTAGTTGGCCAGACGGACAGATCGTTATCTATGTAAACCAGCCGCCATTACCTACTCTATGTGCGCCCACTTTTGTGGAATTGAAGTCGACAACCACCCATAGAGGTGTGAGTAACATGAATGAATAATGATTTACTAAGAATCATATGTCCTTGGCGTCAGTCCCGAAATCACTTTGACCTCGAAGAAATGCCAAGCATTTATGGCATTCTCTTACTAATACTTAAAATATATATATAACATCATTGACTAAATTCTCCCACATTGTAACGTAAGGTTACCTTCAAGGCTGGAAACTATATGAAACGGCGAGTCAGACTACTAAGTAGGTGCTTATTTAATAAAAACTCCTAACATAAAGAATAATTTAAACAACCTTGTGTTGGGGATGAAGTAATCATAATAGGTATGATAAAAAACAAATATAACGTCATTGCCTAAATTCTTCCACATTGTAACGTATGCTACGTTACCTTCAAGGCTGGAAACTATAGGAAACGGCGAGTCAGACTACTAAGTAGGTGCTTATTTAATAAAAAAATCCTAACATAAAGAATAATTTAAACAACCTTGTGTTGGGGATGAAGTACCTAATCATAATAGGTAGGTATGATGACTAACAATTTTTCTTCGTCTGTCCGGTAGATATATCAAAAAATATTGGACACCTATTTTTTCTTTTTACCTTTTTTCACAAACTTCCGTTCTTGGCGCCGATATAATCGATCATCGATACTTAATCAAAACAATACAGAGATGTATTGATTTGAAATGTCTCAAACATAAAAATATCGTGGTGCACGTTTATATTTATATGTTAACTTTAGGAACCTTACATTTTCCGGGAGTAAAAGTATCCTATCTCAATCCAGGTCACAAACTATATGCGTGCCAAATTTCATTCAAAACTGTTCAGTAGTTTTTGCGTGATAAACACATCGACGTTTCTTGAGAATCCCGCGAGAACTTAAAAATTTTTTCGGGAAAAAAATTATCCTTTCTATCAACCCAGGTACTAAACAATATGTGTGCCAAATGTTATCCAAATTTGTTCAGCAGTTTTCAGATTTAATCAAGCCCCGCAGTAAAATACTCCCCAGTAAAATTTTCTACCCCTACACTCCGTTAAGGGTAGTTTCAAAGAACCCTGATAAATATTTTTATTTCCGGTCTCAAGTATAAATATAATATATGAGTTAAGAGTAAATCGAAATGTGCATTAAATTTCATCCATATAAGAACTTAGGCACCCTCGTATGTAACCCTTAGGGGTTGTTTAGGCAAACCAAAAATGGCAAACTATAATTAATTAGATAAGTTTTCGCCAAGTTTCAAGTCTATTAACTCAAGGAATAAGATTTTTCATACAAACTTTCATCCCCTATTTTAAACCGGGGATGAATTTTGGAAAGCGTATTCAGACCAATACCAACTTAAAATCTTAAAAAAATAGAGCGTACTCCTTCCTCAAAGGCTGGCATCGCATTTGTGATACACCTGATGTTGCAGGTGTCTATGGCTGACGGTCAGCTCGTATGCTCCTTATAATTAAAAAAAAAATCCTTTCTTAATGCACCCTTAGACCCCATAAGGAACCTACATGCCAAATCTGAAGTCTCTAGACTCAGCAGTTTGGGTCGGGCTGTGCGTTAATTGTCAGTAAGTCAGTCAGACACTCAGTTTCTTCTTCTATATATTTATTAAGATTGGAGTTTATATTTTTATTGGATTCTCATACTATTACAGCTTTCTTTTATGACTTCGTGTAATATTAATACACTTATTTTGCCGTAACTTCAATCAGAAATTTTCTCCTTTTGCAACATTACGCAACATTTTTTAAGAATCATCCTAATGGTAGATGACGCGGCGTTGTGGAATAATAAAAGTGAAGAGTGAATGAAATTTCGTGGTTAAATGTGCGCCATAGTTTGCCTCTGGTAATTGCGTGCTACCAGTAACCTACATTTGGGCTGAAAGTATTGGCCCACTTCCATTGAAGGCGACGTCTGGACGACCCATTTGCGCTATCGCCGGATCGTTCCACTTTTACACGTTTACACCAGCTCTGAACCTAGCTGTCGATCTAACAATTCATATTGCATTTGAGAGAAAATAGCGATAAATTATTTATTACTCAAAAACATAAAAGGAAACAATAACTTTGATTATACCTCATTTCAGCATTAGTACACTGAACTTCCCAGGTAGGTTAATCGTAAGAAGTTACCTATACCTAATACATTGTCGTCGTCTTTACATTTACTACCAAACCGCTTCGCCGCTGACTAATGATTTCACAACAACGGCAATTCCGTGAATGTAGCGTTAACTAATTTGCATAATATGCAGGCAAAGTGGTGAGTTCATCAACATGTTTGACAATTGATCGCCGGTGTAGGGTAGCGGGTGTCGTAGCCCCTCGTGGGGCGTCAGTCAGTCGAGTCAGTCGCAGAGATGCCGCGGCGGCCGGCGGCCATGCTCCGCTTCTGCTGCTGCCAGCGGACCGTCGCGCCCGCGCCCACCCCCGCGCCTCCCCTCGCCCCCGACCTCGTCGCCGATCTACCCCCGCACACGCGGTAACGCTCCACCCAACCCGACCCCTGCATAAACAAACAACATCTACGACTACTACAAAACTAATTTTGTTTACAGAGACTCCAGCGCGTTCACGAGCTACGAAGAAAAGGCCGACGAAAAGAAATCCTTCACCGAATTAGATAACGATTCGAAAGAAGCGATTATTATAGGCGACACCACGCAAATTAGCATATCCGAAGAAGTTAACGATCCCCCGCCGCCGCCACCTCGCTCGCCGTCGATAAAAGTCGAAGATTACTCAGAAAAGTCGCATAATTCGTTTAACAGTAAAGAGGCTAGAGTTGATCAATCTCCTCAGGTATTTAACAATAACGCAGACGACTTCGGGTCACAGAAATCTATCAATTCGAATATTCTAGATGCTGATGGATCGCGACCTCCGAGTAGGAAATCATCACATAGTCAATTAACGAAGAGTAGAAGTCCGTCACCGAGTCCAAGAAAGAGTAGAAATCCGACCCCTAGTCCGATAAAAAGCAGAAATCCCTCTCCAGACCCGACGAGCAATGTCTACGATGGAATACCATCGCCTTGCCAGCGGGATGTGCGAAACGCCCTCGCAGAGTGCATAGTGCCCGCGCGACACGAAGACTGGGAGGTTATCGTAAATGGACTCCTTGAAACTGAACGTTTAGCGGCAGATCCCTCAGCTCGAGCTCCGGCAGCTAGTTGGAGAGCAGTGGTACGCGCTACTGCTGCACATGTGCGATCGTTACGTTCCAGAGTGGCTAGAACTGCTTGTTCAACCTTAGGGACTTTATTTGAATGTCACGGCCGAGCGTTAGACACTGAATTAGAGGAAGCCGCCACTGCTCTTCTCGATCGTTGTGCGGATGTAAACAGATTTCTAAGAGCCGATGCCGCTTCATCTCTCGTTAGAATGGCATGTGGCAGCAATAATGCGCGGGCTGCTGTGGCGTTAGCTAGGCGTGGCACTACTCATCGAGCGGGGCCTGTTAGGGCGGCCGCTGTGCAGGCTTTGGCGAAGCTGGTTCAATATCACGGTGCTTCGAAGACTCTCGACATGCCCTCGGAGCCGAGGACAGTGTTGCTGAGGGCAGCCGGCGAACTGCTGGGAGACGCGAATGCCGAGACACGTGTGCACGCCCGACAACTCTGCCTCACGCTATCTCAAGATATGCGATTCAGGCAGATGCTGAAGGATGCAATGACGCCGTCCCGCTACCGTGCCATTGAAAAATTTATCGAGAAACTTCGATGACACTAAAAACTCATAAACTTTTTATATGTGCTATGTGAAGTTAATTGGTGGTGCATCCGTCTGACCAGTTTGTGATACGTTTCTAAGCTATGTATTTTGATCTAGTTTATTTGTATGTAATATTGTGTCCATTGCGAAATTATTTCATGACTGATATGTGCGAAAGGTATTTTTCTAAGTAAAAAAGAATTAAACATTGTTATCCTCCAGTGGAGCGAAATTTTGAAAGCTAGTACTTATATGATTATTTATTGTTGTATACAGCATGTTTAGACATAGATAAAAATTGTATTAGTTGAAGTACTTAACTAAAATTAAATACTTTAATAACAGCGAAAAGAATGAGTTATACTATAAAAGAAAATTTAAAATAATTAGTATTGGTTTTATTTAAATAAAAAGACATTACAAAAGCATATTGAAGGAAAAGCTCTACTGCAGTAATACATAAATAATTATTTCGTATACTCAAACCAAATAGCATACCCCAAAGTAAGACTGTAAAGATTGGTTATGGGATAAAGTCAATATTAGGTGTATAAATCTCTAACAGTGGTACTTACCCAACTATAATTTCTTCTCTACAGCAGCAATTTTGAAAACTCCGACAAGCTATGCAGCCATAGTATAGTCATAGATGAATGATTGGTCTCTAGTCGAGTGAAGCGAGACCAATCTTTCATCTATGAGTATAGTCTCCCGTTGACCGCAGGAAGACCAATCATTTACCTAAGCTATGCAAGCTGCGTAGTGCACGCACTCAGACGCTCAACATTGACGTCAATTTTATTAAATGATTGTCTAAATTATGTCATATATATATTGCAAAGAAAGTGACTGCATCAACTTTAATCAGATTTATAAAGTAATTGACATCACTGAGTGTGGTCGTAAGAGCGGTAAAGATAAATAAGTAAGTATTTCTCATTTAATTTTAGTTTTGACGACCTCCGTGGCCGAGTGGTTTGTACGCCGAGTTTGATGGTGTCGCCTACTCGAGAGGTCCCGGGTTCGAATCCCGGTGGGGGCAGATGTTTGTGTGATGAATACGAGCATTTGTACTCCAGTCGTGGATGTTAAAAATATGTATTTCTCTATAAATATACTTTATATATGTACTGTATATGTATTCTTATCCGTTACCCTAGTATCCCATAACACAAGCCTTACAGTGCTTACTTTGGGGCTAGGCTAATTGGTGTGAGTGTTGGAAATATTTATTATTTATTTTATTTATTAATTTAAATCAATGCGTTCAATCGGTATTTTGACGACCTCCGTTGTTGTGGAGTGGTTTGTCATAGAGCTGGCCGCATCGGCCGTGTTGTTATAATAATGTGGTGTAACACCGGTTTTCAAGGTGTCGCCTAATCAAAGGTTCTGGGTTCGAATCCCGGTGAGGCAAATGTTCGATCATTTATAACTAAGTCATGATTATTATATATTTATTTTCTGCAAAAACATAATAATCTTTGTACTACGAGGCTAGGCTGTTTCAAAATGTGTGACCAGGCGCCCGGAAATGCCCGCAAGCTCGTTGGGCACAACCACTTGCTCAATGGATTTTAATTGCTGATTCGTAAGTATCTTAATTAATGAGTAAGGAGATTGTTCAAATTGGCCTAAATGCACAAAAAATATTTACATACACGGTAATTCTTGGCGTAATTTATAATTTAATTTACAGTCATTAAATTTCAGCGGAAACCTTTGTATAATATATTTACTTTAAAAAGGACTTTTAATTTTACCGGTTTGGAAAACATACGAATCATTTTTAATGGCTATGGGTGTAGTAACATTCAGCCAAAGACTGATCGAAGTTGTTTATATAACATAAAAACAAATCTATTTTGTAAAGATCAATAATATAAATCATTTTTTTTATTACACTGTGGTATTAATATCCACAACTATATTATCATTTTCACTAGATGCAAATGTGCTCAGACAATTATTATAAATGGTAGGCGACATCATAAAGTCTATTGCCATACATTTTTCGCCAAACACCTCCATAAACACATTATAATCTGATGTTAGACTTTAATGTATCTATCTATGGGCCTAAGTTCCCTGACTATAAATTAATAAATAAATAACATTATAAGGTGTGATACACTAAAAATCTAAAATATGGTCTTTCATCATTTCATCTTAAAAACATAACAAAAATAATGAAGCTACTGAATATATGGCTAAAGAACCTAAATCTCTTTCCGATTTGAACTGGACAGAACTCGTCGGTAGATTCAATGATGCTACAGCGAAATTCTTCGTACATGTGCTTAAACATTGCTATGCTGATGCTGCTAGTTAAAATATAAAATTGGCTAACTATGTAAAATGTAAGTACCTGCTCTATGGGCATATGCCATTTTTGACATCCCATTGACTCAATCAAAACATTAAAAAAGGTCAAGAAAATTAATGTGAAACTTCTCCAGCCGTTAATGATCCAAGCACAATGGTGTCGTGACAAAACGCGATGTTACAACAACCCGAACTATCGACTGCCTCTTTGTTGAAACTGGGCTCGTTCCTGTTCTGGGGCGGCCTCTATCTGTGGGTGTCGGCGCAGTTTCCGAGGGAAAGCCCCGAGTGGTGGTCGCGGGCTGTGACGTTGCTGCACGGGAGCGTCGCCACAGTGGTCGGCTTGACACAATGCGGTGTCACCACTCTCTCAGCGTGGACGCTTACGAGTGAGCCATTGCCCATTACCCATTGCTTAATGGACGAACTGGCTTAATTTAGTTTGTGAGAATCCAAGAGGAACCTAACATTTTTCTGAGCTAAACAGTATCCTGTGTCAATACAGATGATAAACTATACATATGCCAAATTCCATCCTAAACCGTTCAGCTGCTTTTGTGTAACTGAGTAACAAACATACGAAATTTCAAATTCAATTTTTTTCAATAAAATTAAGTAAGATTGCTTTAAAGATGAATACCCTAGTTGACTCCGCTAGCAATACAAATAGTCTCCCGTCTAGACTAGACTCTAGACTAGAATTCTAATGAATTGAATGCGCCTTTTGTTAAGCGTCCTAGATAGAGAGAACTTAACTACGGAAATTGAGTAACTATATTCTAGGTAAGTACGGACAATTCATGTATGAATAAAAAGTTGTAAGGGAAAAAATGATCATTTTAGGATTCCGTAATTTAAGTGGTGAATCAATCAGTCTAGAGGCTTCTCCAGCCCTCGTAATAGTCAGACCATCGCAAACGACATTATCAAACATGCAAACTACCCTCTCTCTTAATAATCACAATGCTTAATCACTGATATGTAGTGCAAATGAATACTTTTTTTTTATTACGCAAGCAAAACCTCTATTTACGTTAGGGCATTTACTTTAGCCACTAAGCAAAAATTAAGAGAGTTTGACTGGGAGGTGTTAATGGATGCGCCGTATAGTCCTTTTTTACGCTGGCAAAATCTCTATTTACAGACGTTGGCGCCCTTAAGGGGCACGCCAACGAACGGACCTCACACCTAGCCTTTCGCAAATCTCACGGGTGCGAAATGGAAAAGCAGCTCGCGCTGCTTACGAGCGTTTGCGGCGTACTATCCGCTAAAAAACCCTGTGAATACCCTCCACGCTGTTAAGTGCACAACCGCGAGATCCCCATTAAGGAACTTCACCGAGTCTGTGTAGATAAATAGCTAAGTACCATACACGTTGCGGTAGTCTTTAGGCGGCGCCGGGAGATATTGAATAAACTATATTTTTTTGTATTCGAACTTTTGCAGTGAAAATCGGAGGACGCCATTACGCACTGATGGTGTGGTCATGGGGATATTTCGCATTCGACCTGCTCTGGTGTCTCACTTACTGGAGAGAGTACAAGCTGATGTTGTGCCACCACATCAGTTCGCTGGTCGCCATCACAATTTATATGCATAAGGACTACACGGGGTGCACGTTTGCTTGCAACCTTGCTATGATGGAGGTCACCAATCCATTGCTACAGACTAGATGGTTAGAACTTAATTACGTAGTGATGGCTTATGTAGGTTTGTATAGAAACCAGGAATTCATACACTCGCGTGACATCGCCATTTGGACAAGTCTAGCAGTGGCCAAATTTTTATACAATATTCAAATCGCGGCTGGAGACTATTTGTGCATGTTTCCTGACGTATTCGCGTTCATTTCAGAGTTAGGAAAGAGATAGGTGAAGTCGCATTCACACTTTAATTAATCTTTGAATGGGATAGCGAAAAGAGAAGAACGAAAATTAATCAAGCCTGAGCAATATGAAATGAAAGTATTGAAGTGCTAGTCTGGGGAAGTAACCTCCCCATTTGCAAAATACCACTGCGATAAAGTAACACTATCTTTCTGCAATATTGTGTTTCTGTCGGTAAGGTTCTAGGGCTCCGCGGGGTAGAGGATGGGGTTTGAGTAAGGGTGCTTGTTGATGAGACAATTTCTACCCGGATCGTCAGTTAAGTATTGGATACTATGGAGGTTTGTTAACGACACCGGTGGCAACGACGGTTTGGGTTCGGTACAAACGTACGAACCGTGCTCGTGAACAAGCTTGGCCGACATCGCTCCGCGAAGAAACCGGTGCCCACTACCGGCGGAGAACCGGTCGTTAACAAAGCGCCCATGAGATCTACTTTGTATTGCAAGCGTCTTAAGGCGATCGCTCAGCATAAGGCGAGTCATTTACTTATTTACCGCCTTATTTATATAACCAAGCCTAACCTAACCAACATTCTTTCCAGGTTTCTACGAAAAGAAGGATACGACAAAACTCTGCTGTATTATGTAGTAGAGATGACGTATTTAGTGTTGTTTGTGATGGTCCGGGGTATACTCGGCACCTACGTCATATACAAGATAGTCCAGTCCGATATATTTGACATGGACGAGAAAGCCATATCAGTGGTCTTTTACTTCGTTTCATTGGCGTTTATCTACGAAATACTGGGTTACGTCGGCCACAGATACAAATCTAAAATCGTAAGTATTTTTTTATTATTGTCAGTCGTTAATTGACTATTATCAGTCCCATGGCCGTGGCACAGCCCCTTCCTGGTGAAACCTAGTGCGAATTGGTGGGATGAAGGCAATCGACTGCAGGAGCAGCCAGGATCAACTGATGGGGAACTAGCTAGCCTTAGCTTTAACGTTCGCAGTGGCAGTTTCTTAGCAGCTGGCATAATAATAATTAACTTGTAGTCAGTCACCCATTCGATTTATTAGTCATGCATGAAAGTTGCTTCACTCCCATCACTGGCACCAAGCTTCCTCAAACTAACTATAAACTTACACTTTCGGATTTTTATAAGTTAACAAACTAACCCTACATTTTGTAAAAATAGAAAACTAAGTTGACTTATATACTGTTTTATACTTTCATGGTTATTAACATTATAGTAATTTTTGTTTTTTACGGGTTTTTTTTCATATACCTAGTTGTTAGCGAGTTACCGATATTTCAGCACAGTTGCAAGCGCCATGATCACGGAGAAACTAAAAACAAGATACATGGTAACAAACCCGTAAATACCTAACATAAATTGCTAGTCTGTACGGAAAGAGAATGGGATTTAAATTGGAGGGCGCTGTAGTGCTTTTCTACCGTATTTGTAAGGTTTTACCCCTTTAGACATGATTAAATACAAAAAACCGCAAGAAATCACAACAACATATAACTCCGTATCAATACAAAACTTTGACGTTTTACAGATTGCTGGGTTTGATTGCCAAATAAAATTTTTAATGTTAGTTCCGTTTTTCGCCACGCGCCCATTCTCTTTAAGTTGACTGAAAGTATTTAAATTTTCTTTTTTGATCTCTAGACACAGTTGAATATTGATATAAACAATTACACATAAGCTGGTATTTCCTATGTTTTTTCAGTTCCAATCCAGCATAATGTTAATAATAATTTTGTTGCAGGAAGGGTTGAGGCAATATTTGGATCAAGCAGGCTTTGTATCAAACAACCTTTAAGAGATAATAAAATATTTTTAATGTATATCGTAATATTTTTAAATTACAACATTGTCAATCACACTGAATCTTATAAATAACCGCCAAGTGCGTGTCGTGAGGGTTCCTTAGTTGCCCATCGTTACTTTTTTTTACACCGTTACCGGGTTTGGGGACAGCGAGATCCTAAGGGGACCTCAAGCCGAGCATTGGTGAGTGCCTCTAGACTCTAGAGGAATCCAGGCGGATGGCAATATGTAGTACTCCACGGGGGGAGTCTCCTCTCCGTCTGGAGCCTCTAGACCACTCGAACCTGAGGGGTCGGCTCAACTAGAGGGCGTCTCTGAGACGGACATCGCCTCTAGTTAGCTGTTATCGTGCGTGGGGGGCGAGGAAAAGCGCCCAGGTACCATTGTTATCACAATATCAGGATATTTTTGTTTCAAATGCTCCTATACTCTTTATAAAAACGTAAAAATAGCACGATTCAGAAGCCACCGCGCTATCTAGCGGCTGCTTTGTGAAACTAATGATATTTTGTTGTGGTTTTTAAGTTATTTATAGATTTTTGTTTTTAACCAAGGTTTTACGCATTATCAATATGCAATTACTCCATCTAAGTCATCATGTTTTCTTCTAAGGAATTATTATTAGGTAAGAATTTATAATACATAAGTTGAACAACTATTACTCTTAAACTAAGTGATCTATCTAAACCTTTATAATTTACCTTAAAGCACTATTATCATGATTTTTTTTAGTATTTCCAAGCCAATAGTTTAGCTTTTAGGGCTACTCGAACAAAAATTTACCACTTTACAGTTTAATATTTCGCAAATGGTTCCTTAAATCAAAAAATAGTCATAGCAACCCCTTAGTCATTTTAAAGGACCTATTCAATGAGACTACACAATGGGGTGGACAATGAAAAAAAATTAAACCCCATGTTACATGTAAGGGCTGCCCTAAAACAAATATTTTTCAAAATTTTATTCTACCACTTTGTCAGCGTGATTGAAATACATACCTCCACTAAATTACAAATACAGTCTCCAAGGAAAACCTTGGATGGCCTGTAAGGGTTCTTTGCCAAGACTACGAAACTCTAATGAGGCAACACTGGTGTTGTTTACTCAGTTTTTTATTGCTTTTAATAGTAACAGTTTATGAAAATAAAGTAAAACTTCATTTCAAAACATTTCATATCTTTCAAAATTAAGATTCAGATTTGTGAAAAATATATTTTAAAAACATAAAAGTACTTCTAAAGTTTTTAACTAAAATTCTAACATCTGCATTAGTCCCTTCTCTGGTTATAATTTTTCTTATGATTTCTCCTATCTCTCCAGTTTCCAGAAAACTTATTACGGTTGTTTCCTTTGTAATTATCTTTATGACTTTCTTTATGTCTGTATTCCTCACGGGTATGGGATTTTTCAGGGCGATAAGGATGATGCCTGTGAGTCCAGTTACCTTGCAAGCTGGCTAATACCAGTTTGTCATTCAAGTCATGAATTTGTCGCGGCATCTGTACTGCTCGGTAATCGTCCTCTTTCAGTCTATCAGTCATATCAGCAAACTGTTGTACCACATTACTCTGAGGTTGGAAATCCACAGATGGGTCAGGACCAAAACATCTTATCGGGGGTGGCAGCAGTGCCACATGCCCTCTACATTGCAATGACAGTGTTCTGTGGAACAATGCTGTACCACGAAACAAGTTCAGGGCGTAGGGCACTGACACTTCGTGAGAGTATGTTATGAAGGCGAAGTTTTTCTGCCTTCCATCTTTGTCTCTTGCTATTCTGACCTTTTCTAGTGGACCAGCCTGAAAAGAATTTTTAAACATATATTATGAAGATAAGATACATAATAGACGACATACTTAACCAAATCGACATGATATAGTTAGTAATGTTCTCTTGTTTTGGGAAGTAGCTGTGAATACTCATGCATGAAAAATATCGCGCTGCTTCATACCTGCAAAAACAACTCGTATAGTATTTCTTCTGTAGCTTGCTCCGGTAAATTTCCACACCAAAGTGTTTTATTATCACCGTCAATCATATTGCACTTAAACAAAAATTCTTTTTTTATCACACAACACTCAAATTCTTAGAGAAACCTCAGAAATATAAAATAAAATCCAATCGGATTCATCCATCCAATCAAATTAACATTTTTTTTAAATTATTCATGACCATGGATACAAATCCTTCAGTCGTATACATATAAAGCGGCCTACTGACATGCCTGCTGCAGGGACAATCTAGGTGGTTTTCCAATTACAGAGCATAATGCGACTCAGTGGCGCACAATGCCGAATTATGCTGATGCTTAATTGGAACGTGAATTAAATTTCAAATGCACCAGCAGAGTGCGCTAAGTTCAGTGTTAAAAAAAACAATGTTTGTAGCTTCATCCATATTTATATTTAATTTTTTAACACAGTTTGACTTAACTTTGATTATTTAAAAAAAACTATAATGAAACGAAAGTTTTAATAATTTTTCAACAATAAATAATATTACTAACGATAACATATAAATAAAACATTTAGATCAATGCCAACTTAAAAAAAAACACTTGTTAATTTTCTGTCTCTGAGTTGGTACGATTGCACGCATCATACGAAAGCATTACTTTTGAGAGTGCTCGATTGTGCGAAGCGTTGCTGTAGTTGAAACACTCAACGTTAAGCATTATTCCGCATAATGCGCTATAATGTTGTAATTGGAAAGCTACCCTAGGGTGTAAGAGTGGGGATGACCCTTAATTGCCTTCTGAATTGTGATGTGTGTAGGCAAGTTGGGTCAATTTTCTAAATCGGGCCTGCGGCAGGGCGGCAGGAGCGCAAGACCACCCTTGGTCCCTAGATTGTCCCTGCCGTCCTACACGTTGCCACGTGTGTAGCGCGATTGGGGCAATTTCTCAATCAGATTGTTGGTAACTGTCACACGGAGAGCACGTATTTCGATCAAGATGGCGGCAGACCATAATGAGCGTGAAGTTTGGTCTCGAGTGATAGAAATATATAAAGACCGGCCGGTCTTTCAGTTGTGGAACAGTTTTCCTTTTGTATTTTTTATTGTTTGGATTAAACTGTAATAAATTAAGACGAAACTACGCGGAAAGGTATAAAAATGAGTAAGGTAAATCGGAGTGGCACGCGGGAAGTGATTTTTAAAGTTTTCCAGCAATGTTTCGAAGACTACCAAGCTGGACGAATTTTGTGGGATATGGATGATGTTTATGGGCGAACAGCATCTATGACGGGTATGCAATCGTGTAACTATTTGTTTGTAATCTGCCTGAAGTTACAAATTTGCTCAATTTACGATTTTGAGACCAAAAAAGGCATTGTTTACATTGCACATTTTGAGGTTAGATTGACATTGTAAATAGGTAATATTGTAGTACGACCATTTCTTTTGATACGTTATTATGGTTCAACTCGGTCAGGTTTTCTACCAATTTTGAATTAATTGCTTCAATTTGCTTCATGTCAATAAGTTATTGTTTCTATTCCGTTACATATTTTTTTATTTTTTTTTCAGGAAAATCAGAGAGTCGGATAGTCAACGAAGGTTTTAAGAATGATTGAAAGTATGAAACTCCTGGGAAAACATGCAAGGCCGACCAAAGAAAGAAATGGTCACATAAAGAACCATGGCCAGAGGCTTTTAGTGAAGATACCTATCACTAATTTTACTAACTGCACTTTTACAAATTTCTCTAAATAAACTTTTATATACTATAAAATAAATTTTAGTATTATTTTCTTAACAAGTGTGTTAAAAAACGTTGTAGGATGAATCTTGTGTGTATTGATGATTACCTAACGGCTCTGGTCTCAATGGCACCTCAGCGGTAATCACCAACATTACACACTTTTACACTATAAAGTACTATTTTATCTATAATAATTTCATTCAATAGGCTAGTTGACCCTTTTTGGAAAAAGGTTTTAAATGGTTAATAAATGTTCTATTACACCGAAAAAAAATGTATTGTATTTTTTTGAGACGTAGAAAGCTACAAATCTTTAATTTTAAAATAGAATTTTCATGGACATACAAAAACGCTGTCGGCCATTTTAGTCTATAGATTGTCTATGCTATGATGTCAACTGTAGTAAACAAAAACTCGTAAGCACGTAGAAAATAACTTATCTGAGTTTATAATAAAAAGAACATGATTTCTAATAAATACCACGAAAAATAAAGTAATTATCACTATTGTATTGTACGAGAATATAAAAACACATCCTTGAAGACTCCAGGAATGTTGTGGATTAAAGTGCCGAAAGAAATTAACCTACGCAACTTTATTACACTTATTCATATATTGTATCAGTTTTATGTTTATTACTACATTGTAATACTAAATGCACTGTACTTACATACTTAGATGCCTTGTCGTTTCTCTGCTCCGCAGAGCAGAAATCGGGGTTTAGTGCAAAAAATTCACCAACCATCAATGCGTCAATTCATTGCAGATTTGTGCTTTATGCTTTCACAAAGCCGGCATCCATAATTAGTTTTGTCAAAAAAAACAGTAAATGGACACTTTTCTAAAGTTAAAAGTGTTTTAAGATAAATTAATTCAGACTAAAGAATCCACCCACAATAACACGCGAATGACATTTAGTTGTTTACTACAACAAGAGACGTCACAATCATGGCAGATGTGGCAAACAGCGTTTTTAGTGTTCAAAAAATATAGACTAAAAAATATTTTTTTTAAATTAAATTTCTACAGCAATCTTTTCCTTTTTGAAGTGAAATCGATATATTTAGGTTCCTTAGACCAAATACTTTAAGAAATAAACGTTTATTTAATACATTTCGACATGAGTCAACTAGCCTATTCAATCAAATATGCTTGGCTAAACTTTTAAGCATAGGTACCTACTATATATAAAACAGAAACAAAATACGACTGTATAGTGTGTCTTATTAATTACCTATTTTACTTGAATGAACTGCTAGTATCAAAATCATTTTAGTCCGACTGTATATTTTTGCAGTCGGACCTTTGGTTGCTACATGCATACTAGTGGCGCCATCATTTAATGTCACGACTTTATAGACAAACTGTAGTGGAATCTTTAAAATATACGCTATTCCGGTCAAGTGGACTTGAGAACTTTATTGTAGTGTTGACTACCTCACAGAAGCTTATCGAAAAAAACAACTCGATACATTTCGTGCCAAACACTCCAAGAAACATTAGAAAGTCATATTAATGTAAAAAAGAAGATTTAGATTTGTATTATGTATACGACTGAAGGACTTGTATTCATGGTCATGAATAATTAAAAAGAAAATAAAAAAAAAACTGTCATGCTGCCACTGTCAGTTTCAGTTGTTGAATGCTCTGAATGGTAAATTTTACCTAAAATCTGTTCTCTTGAAGAAGTTATATTGTCTTTTCTTTAATTGAAATCTTAAAATGCGTGTACGTATCAAGAATTACTTGAAATAGTGACGTTGAATAATTTCCTCGTTACTCGTAATTTTTTGGACTTGTTTTTTAAGGTTATTTCGAAGGCAGCGTCATGGAGGACTCCAGTAAATACCAACAAATGCAAGATGAAATGTCTAGGTAATGGAACTTATTAATTTATTTGTGGATTAGATAGCCAGGAACAACAGCAAATAGGGTTTTCTTAGTCGTGAACATGCACATGCAGCAGACTTGCCTTGAGGGGTTGAAATGGATAAAATGATGTAGTTTTTGTTCTTCTGAGACTGTCGACTGAAATTCAGACATAATTAGTTTCTAATTTTGCTTTACAAGAGAGCTTGAACTGTATAATAATGTAGATATTCACTTAAAACCTTGCAGAACACTAATAAACCCCTTGATTTGAAAACAAACAGGACCCCTTTATGCCCAGAACTATTTTGGACTCTAATATTTGTAAATTTGGTATATGTTAATGCTAATAGGTTTTTATTGATATTGGTATATTTCACAAATAAAATAAAAGCAAATATTAATTGAAACAAAAAGGTATGTGGCTCAGCATGTGACAGTCATGTTTTGACGTGATGCTGGTATTCTGCCACCACACAATTACAGTGCAACCTCGATATAACAAATCGGAAGGGAACAAGTAAATATTTTTTTTATCAAGTAATTCTTTAAACTGAAGTTTGTTATATTGAGGTAAGGTTGATCTAAAATTTGTTACAAAGAGGGAAAAAAATAGTTTCCTGGCATGACATGAATCACATACTGTGGGACTAAGGGCCATACATTAATGAAACGTTATGTATAGGTTTTTGGTTGACAAAATTTGTTAATTAGATGTATTTACTCTTTTTTTGATAATTGCAAATTTGGTATATAGGGGTTGTTCGCAAAAAAGATCGCAATGTAAAGGTATATTTTACATTGACTCTTAAAGAAAATTTAAGGGGATTACGTATTGTTGTTCAAGGAACCAACATTACACCCATTACAACATTACACCTTTGCTTATAACAGCTTTCTGATATTAACAGACTTTGCTGCAAAGGAGGTGGCAAGTCATTCCATTTTTTTAAAGCAGCAAATAGAAAACGTCCCTTAGTAACAGCCTTTCTAAATAAAGGCAAAGGCAGAGACAGGCACAGGCCAGTATCCCTCCAATTAATAACACAAGTCCTCCATTATAGCTTTCTATATTGTTTGAACATAGTTTAGCTGCAGTTGACATGTGAGCTTGATTCAATATACTTATTGATAGAATTACACCGAGTTTAATACCAGGATTGTCATGTCAGGTTCGAGGCGGAGATATCGGGAACGGAGCTGGCGGTTCGGCCGGTGATAGGCGCAGGCACGTTCGGTGCCGTACAGCAGCAGCTAGAGCGAGCAGTGCCTATGATGCCTCCCTTCGAACAGGCCATGGCAGCACGCATGATGTTTCCCACAGTGCCGCCGCCTCCTCCTCCGCCGTCGATGATGGTGCCGGCATCGGTATGATATTTTTATTGGTCATTTCTTGAATCAAGCAAGACAATCACCAGTTCGTTTATACATAATAGCAAATTGCAACTGCAACACACCTGGGTTTCGAATTTAGGTTTTTTGTATAAAATCCCCATCTTTTATCATAATATTAATCATGGATAAGCCGGCCTTATCTTTAAGTTTTTGACATTTACAGAGTGTAAATAAAGAGGAAATTGCATATCCATCAATGGTTTTCAAAACAAGTATCTTAGGCCCGGATTACAGAAGGACAACTAAGTGTTGATCTTTACTTGAGTACAGTTAGAAAGGGATGTCGCTATGTGCTATATATAGCGACACCCCTTTCTAACTATGCTCAAGACTAGATCAATCACTGAGAATCTTTCTATAACACGAGCCTTAGTGACGTTATAATAAAGCAGTGGTGGATCACTAAAGGGCTTGGTGATTATGACTTACATCTGTCAAAAAAAGTTAGTGAATAGGCCTACTGAACAGTAATGGAGGAGTGTGTGGTGTTTTAAATTTAAAAAAAAAATCTGGCATTTTGCATGTAGTATTTTCGTCAAAAAAATCTATATCGACTAGTCGCGAATCTACTGACAAAAGAATGGGTATAATGATGCCTCATCACAATGTAGTTTTGAGAGGCATGAGTTGAGGTTGTTACTCTGCTCCACATCGCCAATGAATGAAGGAAATGGATTTTTTTCACAGACCTGGATATTATTAACGTGTTTCTTGATTATCGTTCTTCTTTAGGTTTTCAAGGCTCTAAGAAAGGGACAGGTAGTGTAATGGTAGGGATGTCATATGCTTGGAAGAGATACAATAGATTTGTAGTTATAACATTACTTGCCGACGTCTTCGTCTGCGTGGAAAAATTTGGTTTACCTCACAAACTTTCACCCCAGTTTCACCCTCTTAAAGGGTGATTTATAACATAAAAAGTATCCTATGTCTTTTTTCTTGACTTAATCATCTCTATACCAAAATTGAGAAAAAAAATGGTATTGAGATGATTAAGAAATTGGTTCCATGGCTTAATTGTGAAGAGGTAACAGACAGACAGATAGATGTTGCGTTTATAATATTAGTATTAGGACACCCCAGACAATATATGACAACATGGGATAATAATATATCTATGTCTCCTTACACAATTATAATACATAGTGCTGACTCATTGGATCATTCTAAAAGTAAGTAAATAAGTTACTGTGCTGAGGCATACTACTACAGTCACCTTATGTTAGTAAGTACTGCTTTGATTTCGAAACAACAATGAAATTATAGATATAAAGAAAAAATACTCAACACTCATTGTCATTGCTCATAGTTGTTCCACCAATGGACTAGAGAATAAGATTTACAAATATGTACATATAACTATATTTTTTGAGCATTAATCTGCTATTTGTTTACTTCTAAAGAAAATTTTACTAGAAACATTCTACTCGGACCAGGCAACAGACGGGACTTGCAGCCTAAGAAAGGCTAGAGAAAATTCGACACGGCCATCAGGGCTGCGGTAGCATAGTGGTTAGTGCATTCGCCCGGATAGCGAAGGGTGGGTGTCGAATCCCGTCTGCTGACTGATCCACGTGGAATTTTTATAGTAAAATTTTCTTTAGGTGTACCTATGTAACGATAGAATTTGTTTCTATGTAATTGTTTACTTTATTCATTTATTTCTATTTAAAACGATAAAAGAGTCTGCAACGCCATCTATTTTATTAGTGTCTAAACATTGTCATAACAAATCATCTAGTCACATTAGATAGAAGAAAATTTAATGAGGAAAATTTATTTAACTTATAATTTATATGGCAGTCAAATGCTTGAAATAAAAATAATTATAATAAACGTTTTTCTTTGTATGTCTCAGGTACAAAGACTTCGCCCCCCCGGAATGCCGGATTGTTTCCCGGGTCCGATGCCGTTCCTCCGGCCGGGGCTGCCAGGGCCACAGTTGATACCGCCGCCGCCGCCCAAACCCCAGCCCGTGGTGTTATCTGCTGCACCCAAACTGTACAAACAGCCTAAAGAAGACGAAGAAAAGGAGAAGAAGGACAAAGACAAAGAGAGCAGGAAACGGGTAAGTTGTGCTGCAAATTCATGGGTAAAATCGCTTGCACTGGAGTTTGGTGGTTCATAGGCTCTTGTTGTTGAGCTTAAGCTCAAGGGAATATTAATATTGGGCGTGAAGTGAAAATTAAATATTTTTATATGATTTTGTCCCATTCGGTGTCGAGACCCTTGGTGGGTCGTGGGGTCCTAAAGCTATAAGGCTTTTTAAGGAAATAGCAAAAAGGTTAGTCGACATCATAGGAGACGAACAGCTGGCAGCTACCTCGGACAAAGTATTAGTTTAGCTATTCAAAGGGGGAACGCTGCCAGTATCTTCGGAACCTTGTCTAAAGGGACTCCTTTTTATAATATATTTTTAGTTATTTTATTATATTTTTTAAGGTTTTTAGTTTGAGATTCGTTTTTTTATACTTAGGTTCACACTCATGCCGTGATGCCTTTTCTTATCACTGCTGGTTGGATTGTCTAATCAACCATACTGGCAATTTTTTTTCCAATTATCCTAATTCTGCACAAAATTGCTAAGTAACCCGCCTTGGGGTACGAGAAAATCAAGTCCGCAGTATAGACTTTTGAGTCACTGAGAAAGTACTAAATGAGGAGCTGGAAAACAAAACGTTATAATTGCATCAAATTAAATTTTACATATGCAGTAAAAAACTGAATGACATACCTACAGTGAGCTTTTACGTGATTTTTAATTTTGTAATTTTAACACTTTTGTAGGCGGTTTGGATTGACATGAGTTGAAATTCAAATTCAGCTGGCCCAAAATCTTCAGCCGTAAAAAAAAAAGGAGTATATGGTCAAAACCATATGCGTTATACCATTTTGTTCGCCTACACAATTTAAATTATATCTAATTAATTTGGACTGCAATTCGTAATTTTGTTTAAATGCAGTCCATTAGCAGAGGATATTGGTGTTTTGGTGATCCAGGCCGTACCGGATACTCCTCTTCTAGGCATATCAAACACATACTCCTAATAGAGCTTACTGTGTCGTGAGAAACTAACATTCCAAAAGACCACACAATTAAATTTAATAAATATTACGATTTTACCGATAAACTTACCAAAAATGACTTTCTGGTTAATTAACATGCAGTAGAAGTAGGAGCGAAGGCTATACCAGCAAAATCTCTCTACAACTTTCTAAACGACTTCAACCTGTAGAGAATTGCAGTAGGTTAAATTTTCTAACGACCTCAGACAAAGACCTCGACAAAGGCTGCACCAACAGGCACCTATGAAATTTGGGAAGGGCGAGCAACTAGGCGCGCATCTCAAAGGGTGCCTCCTTAAACCGAGGTGTAGGTTCGGTCGCTCAGTCTTGGCAACTGCCCGGAGTTTCTCTCCCGGTCACACGATGGACCCGGAACCCGCACCATGGTTAATCTATGGATTGTTAAGAAGTTCGTCTCTCTATTGTCTTCTACTTTATTTGCATCAATTACCCTCGTCTCCAATAACATAATGCTTTTGGAAGAGTGTTATATGAAGTTTAAAAAGAATGTTAATTTCATTTAAAGAATTTGTCTTTTATTTCCTCGTACTTCTAAATAAATATATAAAAGAAGAAACTGACTGACTGATATATGAACGCACAGCTCAAACTGCTAGGTCTAGAGACTCCAAATTTGGCACGTAGGTTCCTTATGAGGTCTAGGGGTGCACTAAGAAAGAATGTTTCTAAATTCGCCTCCAAAGGGGTTAAAATAGAGGATGAAAGTTTGTATGAAAAATCTTATTCTTATAATGAGTTAATAGACTTGAAACTTGGCACGAATACTTATCTAAGTTAATTACAAAGTTTGTCATTTTATACTGGTGAAAACGCAGAATGGATACAAAATAAACTACAAAAATAACTAATTCCTGACGGACGAAGTCGCGGGTACCCACTATATTAGTACATAAAAAGTACTGTGTATTTAAGGCCTTTCGTTGTAGCTAGGCTAATTAGTGTGTGTTGGAAATATCGATAACTAGCGGCCGCCCGCGACTCGTACACTTTAGATTTTTTTGAGAATCTCACAGGAACGTTACTTTTTATCCCGAATAAACCCGCACCACGGTCAAACCATGGATTGCTAAGAAGTTTGTCTCTCTATTGTCTTCTACTTTATTTGCATTTTTTTGAGAATCTCACAGGAAAGTTACTTTTATTCAGGATAAAAAGTATCCTATGTCTGAATCCAGCTCATATTATGTGTGTACCAAAGGATGCCCATTTTTCGTAGGAGATCCGTACTAACTTGCATCAAACCAAATTTACTCTGAAGAGTTTAGTTTTTATCTAACTTTTTACTATCAAAAATATTTTGTGAATGTTTAACCACATTTTGGAAAAAATTACATAAGTTGGAAACAGACACGGCACTTCAAAGTCACTTTCTCGATAATCCACATTAAAGAGTCACCATCTCATCACTATCAATACTTATTTTGGATGTGGTGAATTAATTAGACGATAAAACTACCAGATCGCCTCAAACGCAGCAATAATAACATCGATCAAACAAACAAAACAAACATCATCACAACAAAAACGAAAATGACATTGACACTTCCGTAATTAAGCGTTCCGAATCGCCATGAATGTATGTTTCGAGTTTCGAAAATACGCAATGTTTACTTTATGAAATGGTAAGATAAAATAAAATGATGTAAAAGAATTACATATTTTATTTTCTACTTTAAAATCTTGTTTACATATACAAGGGCTAAAGCTAATAAAGCGAACAAAGATTTTTATTTTCATTGTTAAACCTCGGAAATAACAGACAACTGTTATTGGAACGGATATGTAAGTTTTTGCGGAAGTAGGTAATTGCTAATTATTTAGAATCTTTAATGTGATTTTTTTAAATGTAGTTAAAAAAACGGCTAAAAGTCATTCATCACGCACATAAATAGAACATTATTTTTGGTATTTGTTTCTTAGGTTTTCACGCACATCACTCATTAAATAAAACTAGTTTTTACGGGTTAATGCACGAAACTTTATTTATCTATTGACGTTTCGCAGCCTTTTCAGGTCTGCATCGTCAGAATAATGATTTTATTTAAAATTGTCGAGCTACCTTCGAAAGAATTATATTGTGCGTTCGGTTATTTCATTGGAAGATTTTTAAAATTTTATTGTCTATGTATGAATTTATTATTTAATTTACTTAATAAAGTATTTTATTTAAAATTCTTGTTTGTAATTTTGAGTTTATTTATTTGACCCTAACTACCGTAAACTACCACCGGTTCCAAAATTGGGAGACCTTCTTGAGAAGAACCGGCGAAACAAACTCAAGAGAGGCTTTCTATCTCCTTCTTATGTTAAATTATGCAAACAAAAAGAACTAATAGTATCTGATGGTCTTGCAGTGTGTGCTCGGGGTTGGGATTTTATCTCCTGTATAATAGGTTCCCAAGCTGGTGGTATATACCAACCATCTTCCCTATTGAAATTTGGATATTTTTTAATCTCAATAGCCTCGCGCATCATTCGAGGAACGAACCGCCGCTCAGCTGCAAGGATCTGTGGTCTATCAAATCTAATGTAGTGGTTTGGTCCCCCTAATGCATGTTCACACACTGCAGATTTATTTTCGCGCCTATGTTTCATATCTGCGATATGTTCTTTTACCCGAGTCCCTATACTCCTCTTTGTTTGCCCGATGTAGGAGAGCCCACAGTCGCATTCAAGTTTGTAGACACCAGCAACTTGAAAGGGTATATTGCACTTGACCGGTCGTAGAAACTGGTTGATCTTCTTAGGCGGCTTGAAGTATGTATTGATTGAAGCACGCTTCAGAATCCTCCCAATCTTGTCAGTGACTCCTTTCATGTAAGGTAGTATAGCAGGTTGTCGGTCGACTGTGCTAGGTTTGGCGCGACTGTGACGGCGACGTGGTACATTCAGGTTATTATCCTTCAGTACTTGCTCGACATGCTGAAGTTCAGCTGCCAGGTGTTGTTCGTCACAGACACCCCGTGCTCTCTGAAACAAAGAGTTTCCTACGGCAGTTAATTGTTTCGGGTGATGGTGTGAGTCACCATTGAGGTACCTATCAGTATGTATCAGTATGAGTCACTTTACGATACACAGTATGGCTTAAACTTTGGTCAGGATTCCTGATTAATAAAATATCTAGAAAAGCTAGTTTACTATCTGCCTCTAACTCCATAGTGAATAGGATGTTGGGGTGTATAGAGTTAAGGTGATTTAAAAAGGCAGAAATTTGATCTGTTGGGAGGATTGTGAAAGTATCATCTACGTACCGCTTATATAGCCTGGGTGTGACAGGTGCTGCGCCGAGAGCCCTCTTCTCGAAATCTTCCATGAAAATATCGGCGACAACAGGTGAGACAGGGGAACCCATTGCAACACCCTCCATTTGTACATAGAAGTCATCCCCCCATAACAGGTAGCCAGAAGTAAGGCAATGCTCCAGTAATACTGCATATTCTATAGGCATATTATTTTCAAGTAGCTTCTTCTTAGTGATTTCAATGCAATCCTGTACTGGTAGGCATGTAAATAAGGACTGAACATCAAAACTGACCATGATTTCATTGTCCATGAGACGTTGATCTCTAATCTCATTGACAAATTGGTATGAATCTTTCACAAAGGCTGTTGTGTTACCTCTCAGTGGTGAAAGTAACTTTGCTACGTGTTTAGCCAAACGGTATGTTGGTGAATCAATCTGGCTTACAATTGGACGTAGCGGAGCATTCTGTTTGTGTATTTTCGGTAACCCATACAGTTTTGGTGGCTTGGGACATGCAGGAATTAGGTAGTTGATGTCAAGATCCAACGTTTCGGAAAGTGATTTGATGAGTTCACTTGTCTTTTTGAGAATCTTGGCGGTCGGATCACTCTTCACAAGTTTATATGTGTTCTCATCTGATAGAAGTTGTGATATTTTGTCGTTGTAATCTGACGTATCCATTACTACCGTGGCGTTTCCTTTATCTGCACGAAGGATAGTAAGTTCTGGCTTAGTTCGCAAGTTTTTAAGTGCAAGGTATTCATCACGAGGAAGGTTTGATTTCGGTGGCTTGCTCCGTCTTAACACTGATGAAATATCTTGACGCAGCGCCTCCATGTCTTCCTTTCTCATGTTGTTTTTCACTAAGCAATCCTCTACGTTACAGATAATTTCTTCGTACGGTATCCTGCGTGGTGCTACAGCAAAATTCAGTCCTTTCTCCAAAACTTTTAAAGTAGGTTCGTCCAAGTTTTGTTTACTTATGTTGACAACTGCTCGGGTAGCGTTCGCCTTGTCTGTGGTTCTGACAGGTGCGTTTCGTTTTTCCTGAACGCGAGATAGTCTTTGATATTTATCTATTTGTCTATGTTTGCACTCGTTAAATTTTGATGACTCACGATTGTTAAGTATCAGAATGCAATTATGATATGATATGATATGCAATGGGTTCCCCTGTCTCACCTGTTGTCGCCGATATTTTCATGGAAGATTTCGAGAAGAGGGCTCTCGGCGCAGCACCTGTCACACCCAGGCTATATAAGCGGTACGTAGATGATACTTTCACAATCCTCCCAACAGATCAAATTTCTGCCTTTTTAAATCACCTTAACTCTATACACCCCAACATCCTATTCACTATGGAGTTAGAGGCAGATAGTAAACTAGCTTTTCTAGATATTTTATTAATCAGGAATCCTGACCAAAGTTTAAGCCATACTGTGTATCGTAAAGTGACTCATACTGATACATACTGATAGGTACCTCAATGGTGACTCACACCATCACCCGAAACAATTAACTGCCGTAGGAAACTCTTTGTTTCAGAGAGCACGGGGTGTCTGTGACGAACAACACCTGGCAGCTGAACTTCAGCATGTCGAGCAAGTACTGAAGGATAATAACCTGAATGTACCACGTCGCCGTCACAGTCGCGCCAAACCTAGCACAGTCGACCGACAACCTGCTATACTACCTTACATGAAAGGAGTCACTGACAAGATTGGGAGGATTCTGAAGCGTGCTTCAATCAATACATACTTCAAGCCGCCTAAGAAGATCAACCAGTTTCTACGACCGGTCAAGTGCAATATACCCTTTCAAGTTGCTGGTGTCTACAAACTTGAATGCGACTGTGGGCTCTCCTACATCGGGCAAACAAAGAGGAGTATAGGGACTCGGGTAAAAGAACATATCGCAGATATGAAACATAGGCGCGAAAATAAATCTGCAGTGTGTGAACATGCATTAGGGGGACCAAACCACTACATTAGATTTGATAGACCACAGATCCTTGCAGCTGAGCGGCGGTTCGTTCCTCGAATGATGCGCGAGGCTATTGAGATTAAAAAATATCCAAATTTCAATAGGGAAGATGGTTGGTATATACCACCAGCTTGGGAACCTATTATACAGGAGATAAAATCCCAACCCCGAGCACACACTGCAAGACCATCAGATACTATTAGTTCTTTTTGTTTGCATAATTTAACATAAGAAGGAGATAGAAAGCCTCTCTTGAGTTTGTTTCGCCGGTTCTTCTCAAGAAGGTCTCCCAATTTTGGAACCGGTGGTAGTTTACGGTAGTTAGGGTCAAATAAATAAACTCAAAATTACAAACAAGAATTTTAAATAAAATACTTTATTAAGTAAATTAAATAATAAATTCATACATAGACAATAAAATTTTAAAAATCTTCCAATGAAATAACCGAACGCACAATATAATTCTTTCGAAGGTAGCTCGACAATTTTAAATAAAATCATTATTCTGACGATGCAGACCTGAAAAGGCTGCGAAACGTCAATAGATAAATAAAGTTTCGTGCATTAACCCGTAAAAACTAGTTTTATTATTTTTGGTGTTAATATATCTATGACGCAATGTGGTACGGGGTATGGGCATTGTCCTTTTATCCAAATCCGTTGAGTGGTTTAGGAGTGAAAGCGTAACAAACAAACAAACAATTAGTTGGTATCGTTCTGGTAGAAACGTTCCCCGCCGCCGCCGCCGGTAGTTCGCGCGGAGCCTGCGCCGGAGCCCGCGCCGCTGCCGGCGCCGCCGCCCCCGCCCGTCATCACGCCCGCCGCGGACCCCGCACCGCCCAACAAGCCCAAAAAGGAGAAGAAGAACAGAAAGGTAATCCACATAAAAAGCAACACGCTTCATTCACAGAAAACTGTATATTTTATTAAATTGATGTTTAATGGGCTAGTTGACACTTTTTGGAATATGTTTTCACTTAAAACAAGTAATATAATAGGCTAGTTGACTCATGTGAAATTGTACTATACAAATGTTTATTTCTTATAATTTTTGGTATGAGGAACTTCAATGGCTGTAATCATTTGACGACCTCCGTGGCCGAGTGGTTTATAAGCCGGATTTCATGGTGTCGCCGACTCGAGAGGTACCGGGTTCAATTCTCGGTGAGGGCAGATGTTTGTGTGATGAATACGAGCATTTGTGCCCCAGTCATGGGTGTTTTATATGTATTTCTTTATAAATGTACTTATATATGTATTCTATCCGTTACCCTAGTATCCCATAACACAAGCCTTACAGTGCTTACTTTGGGGCTAGGCTAATTGGTGTGAGTGTTGGAAATATTTATTTATTATTTATTTATATTATTATTAAATTTTTGTTTAATGGGCTAGTTGACACTTTTTGGAAATATGTTTTCACTTAAAACAAGTAATATAATAGGCTAGTTGACTCATGTAAAATTGTACTATACAAATGTTTATTTCTTATAATTTTTGGTATGAGGAACCTAAAAGGCTCATCATTTCATCATTCACAACTATAATATATCTAAAAACTCTTATATCTTGTAGAAAAGTTTCCGTTTATTGTGAAAGCTAAAAAACGACAAAACTCTGACTTCATAACCTTAAAAATTGTATTTTTATACTTTAAATATTATTATTCAATGAGTACTTACATTGAAGTGATCTTTGCAAAAAGAAATGACAAATCAGTTGATAAAGTTACAGAATTTGGCAAGTTTTAAACATGTGTTCATGTGTAGGTATGTTTATTTCTCTAGCCAATTTAAACCACTATTTTTCTGGAGTCTTTAACGATGTGTTTCTACAATCTCGTATCATGATAATTACTATATTTTTCATGTAATCTATTAGAAATCATGGTTTTATAGAATTTCGGTCTAATAGAACAATAATTAACCATTTAAAATATATTTCCAAAAAGTGTCAACTAGCCTATTTGACATGATTCTAGTAGCCTATTGTTTTCGTAGCAAAGTAGGTAAGTTTGGTATACAATCTTTTTTGTTCTCGAAACAATACATGATTGGCTGATTTTAAAAATAGATTTCTTTTAATAGTATAGTATAAGAAAAATACTTTTTACAACAATAAAAATTGATCAAAAGTTCCAATCCGTACAACTAGTTGCTTGAGACTTTTTTGATATGTATTTTTTGGTAAACTTCGATCAACAATTCTATAGATAGATAAAAAAAAACTAAAATGACGTCACACGCTAGTACACTGCCGATGCCGGTCAAAGTGACATTACATTGTATCGTTAGACGTTTTAATGACACATAGCAAAGAGACGCCATAAAGTCCAGGGAAACGTTTCGGCGGCAACTCTAAAATGGTATTTTTGATTTAGTTTTTTTTTATTGAAACACGCAACAGAATGATGGATATCATAACTTTTATGGACTCCATAAACATTAGTAAATAACGTGAGATCGTTTTCTAACACTTGTCAAATATCCTATTGTCCCGACTGCTGCTGTAACGTTCAGCTGATTACGCTGATGATGATGATGATCGTGGAGCTCGATGGCCCAAGTGGTTCGTTCGGCTGCAAACGTTGAACTTAAGCAACTTTCACAGTGGTCGGTCATTGGATGGGTGACCAAAAATTTACTATCTCGAACTCAACCGTGCTTCGGAAGGCACGTTAAGCCGTTGGTCCGGCTGCATCTGCAGTCGTTAACACCCACCATTCCGCACTGGGCCCGCGTGGAGGGTCATGGCCTAATCTCCCTATTCCATCCATAAGGAAGGCCTGTGCCCCAGCAGTGGGGACATTAATAGGCTGATGATGAGGATGATCGTACAATTTTTATGTTACCACAGGTGGTTCGAACAGCCGGTGGCCAAGTTTGGGAAGACGTAACTCTATTAGACTGGCCCGACGATGACTTCCGTATGTTCTGCGGAGACCTCGGCAACGATGTTACTGACGAGCTTTTGGTGAGAAAAATGCTCTATACTCTAGGTAATAAGGTCCTAGTTTTTACTTGTGTTGAAAACAGATGATTTGCAACAAACTAATGTGCTATTTCTCTGATTAACACTTCACAAAAAGTATTTTTATAGCAAAAATAAATACAAATTATTTGTTGTCATTGGCCTGATAGGAAATCTGTGAAGTTTTATTTCGTTCATTTGCAAAAATCAGGATTAATTATCAAACAGCCTTATGTACAGCCTGATCAGCAAAATAAAATCTATTATTTTAGGCCTTCGGTGAGTTGTTATAATAAAAATTAGGGCCAAATATGTCATATTTTTTAGGAGTTTGGAATTAATATTGTTCATCTCGATACACTTACACAAATATTTATTGTGCACATTTATTGTTAATTTATTTTTGTAAAACGGAACATTTTCCTTGTGAAACAGACATGAAGTCAATTTTTATACTTTTATAATTTGATTATTTCACGAGAGTTGTATGAGAATAATAAACACGTTAAAATTAATAAAATAATATTATAATGCTTTAGGCTAGTGCGAAATAATTATACACGTTAAGGGCAGTTTCTTAGCCATGTCCTTTATAAGCATTTTTGTTACTTGGACAATGTAATTTTCACGATACTTCGTTCATATGTACACCGATTACTTGAAGATTTCCTATCTGATTTGAGTGATTATTTTTTTTTGTTGGAAAGGAGAAACTTGCCGTTTGATTGCATAAAAAAAAATAGTTTGACCCAGTTGTTTTTATTTTATGAGCATTTTTGTTTATTGTTTGCTTGGACGATGTAATTTTCACTAAAATGGATGAAATATTTTTATTTAAACAAAAAATAAAACTGACTTCAACTTCGAAAATTAAGCTAAAAAGTAAAAAAATATATCTGGTGCAGGATTTAGAAGTCTAGCGGGGTCAAGATTGAAACACTTAGGTACGATTAGAATTGAAAGTATAATCATATTTGAACCTTGGCCCCGCCCGACTTCGTACCAGATATTATACTTTTTACTTTCATTTTCGATTTTGAAGACAGTTTTATTTTTAGTTTGAAGTTTTTTACACAAAAAATATGTCTGTTATTCATTTATACTTAGCGGCTGAACGGATTTGAATGAAATTTGGCACACATATAGTTTATAATTAGATACTTTTATCTCAGAACAAAATTAGTTACGTTCCTGTGTGAAACTTAAAAACTAACTAACATAACGCGAACGAAGTCGGGAACGCAATCTAGGACTTATATAAATTCTCTTAATATTACAGACGCGGACATTTAGCAAATACACTTCCTTCCAAAGGGCCAAGGTAATACGGGACAAACGGACTAACAAGAGCAAAGGGTTCGGCTTCGTCAGCTTCAAGGACCCTGGCGACTTCATCAAAGCCATGAAAGAGATGGACGGTAAGCTTTCCATATTTTAGTTCCTTGGGTTTTCACGTCAATCATTTTTTTTTTTTATTTACTTTAAAGTAAATAAAATGAGTCTTCAGAATAATGCAGGCATCTTCAGATTATGATTATCTTCAGAGAAAATATTATTCTGAAGATGCATTCCTGAAAAGGATGCGAAACGTCAATAAATAAATAAATTCAGTGCATATAACCAGTTAAAACAATTTTTTCCATATATTAAATATCATCGGTAACCTAATAATGTCCTCACTGCTGGGGCATAGGCTTTTCCCATAGATAATTCATAAAGGAAGCACTGCGGTCTTATTGTGTATAATACAATGCAATTCGAACTTTATGGTTGTTGTGAAGTTAGCAGCGATCGTACTTCCGTAAACTTCATAGCTATTTTTATTGTACTGTATGTATAAATTAAATTCGTTTATTTTAGCCATATGACGTACTTAATATTTCATCTCAATAAACACGTTCATACTTATTTAGTGTTGCATTATTTACACAGCAACATGTTTGTGAATGAAGATGGTTTATATAAAGTACCCCCAAAACTATAATATTTTTTCTAACAACATCATATACTTGAATAAAGACTGTAGTAGAAGAGAAAATGTACAAGGCGTCGTGCGTATTCTTTACGGTTTTTTTTTATTTCGACCGAATCTCATTGAACGCGGTTTTAATCTATACCTTTGTCTCACTCTAAGACTAAAAAGAAAAAAATGTAGTTTGAATTTTCACCACCCACACGTGGCGCCATTTGGTAATGCGCGCCATTTGCATTAGATAAAGTTACTTCATTACTTAAATTTAGTAGTTACTGTTTTCTCGCAAATGTGTTCAAAAACGTTGTATGCCATTCGTGCGAAATTGGTATTTACAAATTCGTGACTGTGGCATTTAAAATTCGCCTACTCATTTGTAATAACCAACTTACCACCCTTATATTCTCAACAATAACATATATCAACTCGGTAAAGTCCATATAGTACACCCTGACTGTTATCTGTATCGCCAATGTTTGAAAATTGCAATGCAAAATTTTAATAATGTATATAAAGTAATTTATTTCATTTAATTTCTTGTGTAAAACTATGTGCTTTAGATTGACAATGTGATTAGACTTTTTTTGATTGTTTATTGTTATAATTTAAATTCAGTTAAAAATATACATACTTTATTTATTTTTATTATTATTCTTTGAATTTAATAATGATTGTCAGAATAGTTAAGAGACGAGTTGTAATAAAACTATTTTAATTTAACATAAGATGGGACAAATTACAATTTGTGATTGTAATTTCTAATATGGGTTATTGTGCCTGAAATATTTATTATTATTATTATATTATAAATAACTATTAATGATACATTTGTAATTTATTCCAGGGCGATACGTCGGCAGTCGTCCCATAAAACTACGAAAAAGCACTTGGAAGAACCGCGCTTTGGACGTTGTACGGAAGAAGGAGAAAGAGAAAGCAGCCTTGCTCTCTCTGCTTATGTCTAATAACAAAAGCTGATAAAGTGACCAATAGTGTTGTAGCTTACTTTCATTGCAATAATGTTTCAGTGGCAGTGAGTGTTGTTGTCAAAATATTTAAAATGTTGCCAGAATTTCAGTCAAAACTAGATATTATATGGTAACAAAAGTTTGTATTATAAGTTGTACATAATTATAACTGAATTTAAAATATTACTCTTTTCATACACAATAGGGATGATGACTAATTTTTTTTCTTCGTTTATCAGGTAGATTATCAAAAAGTATTGGACACGTATTTTTTCTTTTTTCACATAATATAAACATTGCAGAGATATATTGATCTGAAAAGTCGCATGACGTCACGTTTGAGTACACTTATAAGTGAAAATTCACTCAAAAGTGACGTCACGAGCCCCCACTCCCAAGCTTTGACGCGCTATAATTTTGTCATTTTTTGGTTGATTGCCCAAAGAAAAAATACGTGTCCATTATTTTTTGATCATCTAACTGACGGACTAAATAGAATTTCGTTTACTGTACCCCGTCATCACCCCTGAATTATGATATTACATTGAATTGATATATCTCAGGGCCGACTATTACAAAATTCTCATAATTTTTTATGGGAGATCAGATAGATAGTTACTTAAATATTGTTCATTACAATGAAAGTATAAAAATGCTGGAAAATTTTAGAAACATTCGTTGAAGTCGCTTAAAATAGATCACAGCAAAATGTTTTGGTGAAAATATGAATAGTGTCAAATAAACATTAAAAAGTGTTCGTCGCACAGAAAAATAATTAAGTATAACTCGTGTCACTAAAGAAACAAATCGCAAATTACGACGCAAGACATTCTATGCCTATCGCACATACTATCCTAAGTAACGTGCGAGAGGGACAGAATATCTTGCGTCGGTATTTCCGAATCATTTCTTTAAAGACACGATACAACATAGTTCCAGCCTTGTATCACGTCACTAGAGAATATAAACAGTATTTTTTTTAATTTATCCCACATAATCCGCTGATTAGTATTCTCGTATAAACATTTGAATACAATACATGTAGCAATAAACACCGTGTGATTACTCATTCTGTATTTGCTTAGGATATTAGTTTATAATAAAATAAATTGTTTAGTAAAAATGTTTGTGGCTTTCATTATCTAAGGCACCTCGCGCACTAGACGGCCACGACTTAGACCAGATTAACTATAGTTGGTCGTTGCGGCCAAGTGCGCGACGCTCTTATATTATTGAGGTGAAACTTCTTTTCGCACGCTTGACTTGGGGAGTAAGCTGGCGAATGCGTTACGCGTTACGAAAAGTGTGTTCGGGCGAGGCGAACGGGAGTTGAGTGGGGGATATAAGCTAGAGAAAGCAGTGCGCCCGCACATTTTCTTTCTCTTATAGCTAGTAAATGAAATATTTATATGTACATACATGTATATATTGTACATACACACATATATACCTATATACAGATGGAGCTAAAGAAGTTTCACTACAGTCGTGTGGTCAACTAAAAAAAAAACGAGTGTGCTTGCTACACTCGTTTTTTTTTTAGTTAAATAGGTCGTTGCGGCCATTGACCGAGGTGCTATCAATTATTATTCATGAATATTATATTTTTACTTATTAAGCATTTAACTGCTAGATGTTTAAATCTAAAGAAAAAGTTACTAGAAATAGTTCCTACTAAAATTATCTTTAATGCATGAATATGTTACAACCGAACTTTTGATTTCGCCATATTAGAATCGAGAAAAGCTAGAATGCATTACAGTTACGGAGTTCACCGCATTAGGCTAAGAACACATGGCGCGATTTTCTAACGACCGCAACTCTCGTAGAATGTACATAAATAAATATTTCCAACACTCACACCAATTAGCCTAGCCCCAAAATAAGCACTGTAAAATATATAATAATATAAATAGGCACGGCTTGTGTTATGGGGTACTAGGGTAACGGATAGAATACATATACTGTACATATATAAAGTTATTTATATAGAAATACATATCAAACATCCATGACTGGAGTAGAAATGTGCGTATTCATCACACAAACATCTGCCTCCACCGGGATTTGAACCCGAGACCTCTCGGGTCGGTGACACCATAAAACCAGGCGTACAAACCACCCGAGGTCGTAAATGTTGTAGGTAAAACGCAAAACTCACGACGCGACTTGCTCCCTCAGAGCGCGCGGGTGTTTGGGAAAGCGATCACTTGCAGAAGTGTGCACTTTGGAATTAGAACCAGCATAAAAGTCGCAACTTTTATGCGAGTTCTAAATTCAAAATTTTCTTTCTTTCTCGCTGCCGCGGCGGGTGCGGGAAAAGTCGCGCCGTGAGTTCTCAACTTTCTTGTTATACGATTTTTCGTGTTCTTCAACACAACTAGTTGGAATATGATTGAACGAGCCATAAGTAGTCTTTTAGGAAAGGTTTCGTCGCTATTTTTGCACACAAGGCGCGGTTAATAGCGTTAATCTTGAAAGTAATAATATTAATATATTTTCAAGATAGATTTTAGAATATATCAGAACCGAAGACACAGAAAAGTTCGTTTTATAGCGGCAGTGACTATATTTTCGCCCTCCTTCCCTCTTCGTAATATTTGTGACCTAGGAGAAAGTTCTAAAGAAAATATAACTAGAAAAAAATCCACGCGGACCAGGCAGCAGACAGGACTCGAACCCGCACCCTTCGCAATCCGGGCGAATGCACTGACCAATTATGCTACCGCGGCCCTCACGGACCGCGTCGAAATTCTTTCTAGCTATTCATAAGCTGCAAGGCAGCGCCATCTCTTCGCATTATAGGTAAACCCACAATGTCAAATGAATACTTTTACAAGTATTAAACATTTGAAAGAAGAAATAGCAATTATAGTTATAATTTTTATTATTTTTAAAGCATGTAACTGCTTGATGTTTAAATCTAAAGAAAATATAACTAGAAAAAAAAATGGTTGCCTGTAAAGTCGGTTTTACGGGCGAAGATTTTACGTGACAACGTCTTTTTCTCGGTAGAATATTTATTGATATGAATATAATTAAATTGCACAATAGGAACAAGGAATTGAATGAAAATAAGAATTGCACAAATTTTAACTATAGAAATATATTTTGTTTACTAAAACATTGTACATGTAAACTTAAACTTAACACGAGAGACTCATCGTAACGTTACCGAGCGTTACACTTTTTCATAAGTGACTCCCAGCCGCAACCTAATTTAAGACGTTGTCACGTCAAAAATCCACACGGACCAGGCAGCAGACGGGACTCGAACCCGCACCCTTCGCAATCCGGGCGAATGCACTGACCATTATGCTACCGCGGCCCTCACGGACCGCGTCGAAATTCTTTCTAGCTATTCTTAAGCTGCAAGGCAGCGCCATCTCTTCGCATTATAGGTAAACCCACAATGTCAAATGAATACTTTTACAAGTATTAAACATTTGAAAGAAGAAATAGCAATTATAGTTATAATTTTTATTATTTTTAAAGCATGTAACTGCTTGATGTTTAAATCTAAAGAAAAAATAACTAAAAAAAAAAATCCACGCGGACCAGGCAGCAGACAGGACTCGAACCCGCACCCTTCGCAATCCGGGCGAATGCACTGACCAATTATGCTACCGCGGCCCTCACGGACCGCGTCGAAATTCTTTCTAGCTATTCTTAAGCTGCAAGGCAGCGCCATCTCTTCGCATTATAGGTAAACCCACAATGTCAAATGAATACTTTTACAAGTATTAAACATTTGAAAGAAGAAATAGCAATTATAGTTATAATTTTTATTATTTTTAAAGCATGTAACTGCTTGATGTTTAAATCTAAAGAAAATATAACTAGAAAAAAATCCACGCGGACCAGGCAGTAGACAGGACTCGAACCCGCACCCTTCGCAATCCGGGCGAATGCACTGACCAATTATGCTACCGCGGCCCTCACGGACCGCGTCGAAATTCTTTCTAGCTATTCTTAAGCTGCAAGGCAGCGCCATCTCTTCGCATTATAGGTAAACCCACAATGTCAAATGAATACTTTTACAAGTATTAAACATTTGAAAGAAGAAATAGCAATTATAGTTATAATTTTTATTATTTTTAAAGCATGTAACTGCTTGATGTTTAAATCTAAAGAAAATATAACTAGAAAAAAACCTACTAACTACTAGGGTTTACCTATAATGCGAAGAGATGGCGCTGCCTTGCAGCTTAAGAATAGCTAGAAAGAATTTCGACGCGGTCCGTGAGGGCCGCGGTAGCATAATTGGTCAGTGCATTCGCCCGGATTGCGAAGGGTGCGGGTTCGAGTCCTGTCTGCTGCCTGGTCCGCGTGGATTTTTTTCTAGTTATATTTTCTTTAGATTTAAGCAATTAACATCAAGCAGTTACATGCTTTAAATTAATACAAAATTATAACTATAATTGCTATTTCTTCTTTCAAATGTTTAATACTTGTAAAAGTATTCATTTGACATTGTGTGTTACCTATAATGCGAAGAGATGGCGCTGCCTTGCAGCTTAAGAATAGCTAGAAAGAATTTCGACGCGGTCCGTGAGGGCCGCGGTAGCCTAATTGGTCAGTGCGTTCGCCCGGATTGCGAAGGGTGCTGGTTCGAGTCCTGTCTGCTGCCTGGTCGGCGTGGATTTTTTCTAGTTATATTTTCTTTAGATTTAAACATCAAGCAGTTAAATGCTTTAAAATAATAAAAATTATAACTATAATTGCTATTTCTTCTTTCAAATGTTTAATACTTGTAAAAGTATTCATTTGACATTGTGGGTTTACCTATAATGCGAAGAGATGGCGCTGCCTTGCAGCTTAAGAATAGCTAGAAAGAATTTCGACGCGGTCCGTGAGGGCCGCGGTAGCATAATTGGTCAGTGCATTCGCCCGGATTGCGAAGGGTGCGGGTTCGAGTCCTGTCTGCTGCCTGGTCCGCGTGGATTTTTTTCTAGTTATATTTTCTTTAGATTTAAACATCAAGCAGTTACATGCTTTAAAAATAATAAAAATTATAACTAGGAGAAAGTTCCTTGTCTTCCTGAAACACAGTCTTAACCACAGGATTAAAATAAAACATACAATAAAATAAATTAACATTTATTGGTACACATAAATTCTTTGGCTCAACATCATCCAATTATTTATTATAATATTCCTTTTCGCCTATTTTAATAAAACCAGCACTTATAATAAATTATATCTATTTCACTATAGTGAAACAACAAATATAGTTATAACTATATTTGTAATTTTAAACATTCCTCGCTACATGCATAGTAGTCGAGCGAGGTAAGTTTTTAAAAACGAAACATATTGGTTATAAATTGAAACTATTTTTAGGATTTTCGGCCATTCTCAGTAGCCACCGCCTGAGGCAACAGGAAACAGTTGAAAATCTTATTAATAAAAACTGTCTGTTCTGTCCTTACAGAACCCTTAGTACGAGTTTTACAATTACGAAAACTATGATAGTTTTCGTGAGCACTCGTACTAAGAGTACTGATTTTATTGTTTTCGTTTCAATACAAATAAACAGTGTTTAAATTTATATCATTAAATCGTTTGCGTCTTCTTAAATTTTAAGAATATTTGGTTACTTTTCACCAATATGGACATAGAAACATAATTTAATTTACGAAAACTATGATAGTTTTCGTGAGCTCAAACTCGTACTAGTACGACAACAATTGTACCCCTAGGGGTACAATTGTTTAAAACAACTTTTTGATAAATTTCTGTACTTACTGTATAGATAATGGTATATACAAATTTTGAGAATAACTTACGTTATATTAAGTGTTCTCAAGTTTGTACATCATGGACTTATTTCCATGGTGTTCATACAGAGCTAGGCAATCGTGCTTGGCAATGTATGAGATAATGTATCCAATCACCGGATGAGTTGTACGGAGCTTATAGCTAGCAATAAATTAATTTTAAAATATCATCTGTTTTAAGAGCTGCTTATCTCAGCTCAGCAGTGAGCGGATCAACCGTGAAAGCGCAGTCTAACAAGCGGGCGTTTGCGCGTACTAAGCATAACCAACTGATAATCCTGTTAATAAATCTATGTTGAACGCTGATACGATCGATACAAATTCTGAACTACTGTCGAGCAAAATTAGACTAGTTGCCGAGATTTTTCTTGTTTTTAAAAGAGGCAGGCTTGACTCGTAAGGGGCCGTTCAAGTATTACGTAAGCACTCTAGGGGGGTCTTTGCTTTGCTTATTTTTGATGACATGTGGGGGTAATTCGAGATAGTAATTACGTCAGCATCATGTATTTGGGTGTCATTGACTGAAGGCTGTTAATTGGAATTAATATACATGTATACCAAAAATTCGAAAGAATTTGTTTTGTTCGTAATAGTACTTAATAAGATTATAATATTTGTAACTTACTCTATGTTGAATACTGTGTCAATAAAGTTTGTATAAATGAATATTAAAATCCTCTATCCCAAGCCTATTTAAGTACTGCTGCTCATGAAGCTCATGAATCAATAAAAAGACAATACTTTAGAGGAAAAATGCATTTAGGTATCAATGTTTACGTAAGCAAGGGAGGGGGTAGTAAGAGCTTTGCTTACTTTTGCTGACAAGGGGAGGAGGGGCTAAATAATTGAAATAAATATGCTTACGTAATACTTGAACGGCCCCTAATGCGCGCAGTTTGAGAAGCAGTCGCGGGCAGTTGTACAGAAGTCTACTTAACATTCTCATGTTAAATTACATTTTGAGTAGTGTACAATGATACGGTACAAATACTGAAATCATCAGAGGAGTCTCCAGCCCATGTAGCGCCTGTATGATTACCCTAGCTAGCTTTCTTCAGTAAGGGGCCATTCATTTAAATTGTAAGACTATTTTCGCTTGTTTTTAATCCCGACAGGCCGACCCCCCACCCCCCTGTTTAAAATTTATTACGTAAGAATCTAAAGGAAAAAAATGAATACACGCACCATATCTATAATACGATCCAAACTTTATGGCGGTTGTGAAGCTAGCAGCGAGTGCCACTATGCGCAGGTTTCAGTGACATCCCGCGTGCGTCTACAGCACCTTACATTTAATTGTCATCGCCGCGACTCGATCTAACTTCAAAGCCTCCATTTTTTTTTTGAGTGTGTATGTTATTGGTCGCAGCGCAGATGACCTTTACAGTATCACCGGGTTTGGGGACGGCGAGATCCTAAGGGGATCTCAAGCCGAGAATTGGCGAGTGCCTCTAGTGGTATTCCAAGTGGATAGCATATCCCCACGGGGGGAGGCTGCTCTCCGTCTGGAGACTCTAGACCACTCGAACCTGAGGGGGAGCCTCCATTAAGTTTGCATCTCACTATAAAACCACTTCTGGGGGTCAGACTAGTAGCCGTGAGTCGTCAGTATTGTTATAAGGGGCAGGTTTAATCAGGCTTCGCATAGCAGTCGCGGGTGGTTGCGTTTACAAAGTCTTCTTACAATCCTGGCATAAATCTATGTTGCAATGTACGCTGATACGATGAAATACTGAGCTACCGCTGAACGACGTTAGACTAGTTGTTTTGAATCTTTTTTTATCTTAGGCAGGTTTGACTAAGGCAAGTAGTCTGAGCAGCGGTCCCAGGCGGTTGTGCGGTAGACGAGTGACTTCAGACTAGCTGTCTTGTGTCGTCAGTTCTATTATCTAGAGCAGGTTTGACTAAAGCGCGTAGTCTGAGCAGCGGTCACGGGCGGTTGTGCGGTAGACGAGTGACTTCAGACTAGCTGCCTTGAGTCGTCGGTTCTATTATCTAGGGCCGGTTTGACTAAAGCGCGTAGTCTGAGCAGCGGTCACGGGCGGTTGTGCGGTAGACGAGTGACTTCAGACTAGCTGCCGTCTGTCGTCAGTTCTATTATCTAGAGCCGGTTTGACTAAAGCGCGTAGTATGAGCAGCGGTCGCGGGCGGTTGTGCAGTAGACGAGTGACTTCAGACTAGCTGCCGTGTGTCGTCAGTTCTAGTATCTAGGGCCGGTTCGACTAAAGCGCGTAGTCTGAGCAGCCGTCACGGGCGGTTGTGCTGTAGACGAGTGACTTCAGACTAGCTGCCTTGAGTCGTCGGTTCTATTATCTAAGGCCGGTTTGACTTAAACGCGTTGTCTGAGCAGCGATCGCCGACGATTGTGCAGTAGACGAGTGACTTCAGACTAGCTGCCTTGAGTCGTCGGTTCTGTTATCTAGGGCCGGTTTGACTAAAGCGCGTAGTCTGACCAGCGGTCGTGGGCGGTTCCGCGGCGGCTGGGTGGTGGTGGCGGCGGCCGCGTACTGCGCGTCTAGACAGCAGCGGTCGTCGCCCTCCGCGAGGCCGGACGTCGCAGGACAGAACGGCGTGGAGAAATCTTCTATACAATACGCGCCCGATGCCCTGCGAATAGTAAACAAAAACTTTTCTTAAGTCGTCGCAACTTTCCAAAATATAGTGCGATTCAAAGTTTAGGACAATTGTGCAGCTAGCAGAAATTGCAATTATGCGCAGAATTCAGTTTAGGGAGTCTAAACTGAATTCAAGTCACCCTAAATTACATTTACTCCGCCGAGAGTTGCGCGGACTTCGTAGACGCCTTAAGCTTGATCCTACCCATTAAACCTCGATGATATTCGCGTAATGACATTGGTTGTTTTACTACGTGGTTACCTACATTCATTTTTACGCGTGCATACATTATGCCACTCTATCACGAAAGACATCAAAGTATATTGATGTATAACATCTTTCCTCTCGCTTTCCTGCAATTTGTGGGAGTGATTTCGTGAAATGGGACGGAAGTGTGTAACAGGAAGTCGCGAAAGCGCGCGCTATTTGATTTGATCTTAGAACATAATGTTCAAATGGCTTTTTCTTTTTGTAGTAGGTTATATTTCTTTTTTTACTAATATAAGGTGAGGTTCCAAATGTTACACATCATACGCGACTACTGTAAGGCTCGCTCGTTTTTTTGGTACTTTACAACATAAAATTTAGACTAATGAGGAGTCTATCAATGCAGAGTAAAATGTTGTTTAGCCATACGTCATGCAGGTGGATGCATGCCAGGAAACCTTACGGTTTCATTTCATTTATCACTACGTCAGGGGCGCAAGTTACCTGAGCGGCACGGACAGATGTAGCTGCACAGCGTTTCATCTGCGGTTTCATCAACATTATCCTCACATCATGGGTGCAGGCAGTGCGGCACGCGCATGATGCACCGCCGGCCGCAAGGCGTGGCTTGCGGCTCGTGGAACAAGTTTTCCGCCTGGTAGCAGATCGACCAGAATTGGCTGTATTGCTCCGTCTGTGGTATCATTAACATTATCCTCACGTCATGGGTGCGGGCTGTCCCAGCGGCACGGGCAGGGCGGAGACGCGGGAGGGCGGCACCCGCTCGGAGCACCGCCGGCCGCAGGGCGTGGCTTGTCGCTCGCGGAACAGACTCTCCGCCTGGTAGCAGATCGACTAGATGTGGCTGTATTGCTCCGTCTGTGGTATCATTAACATTATCCTCACGTCATGGGTGCGGGCTGTCCCAGCGGCACGGGCAGGGCGGAGACGCGGGAGGGCGGCACCCGCACGGAGCATCGCCGGCCGCAGGGCGTGGCTTGTCGCTCGCGGAACAAACTCTCCGCCTGGTAGCAGATCGACCAGATGTGGCTGCACAGCGCCTCGTCTGCGGTATCATCAACATGAAATAACCATAACTTCGTTAATTTTAGTTTAATGAAATGTTATGAAAAATGATTTTTTTTTGTTAAAAAGCTCTGTTACTCGTATCTATTACTGATTCCTGCCTGTCCAAATCTCCATATCACAACGATGTCAACATGTAAACCTGGTAGTAAATTTGAACGTTATGTCAAAGCACAATGCAATGATACCGCACCGTTATATGTTGACGGCGTCATATCGTGGAGATGTGGACAGACACTTATTCTGGTATGATTAGACGTGCTGATACTGACTGGGCGTGTCCTCGCAGTAGGGCTGGCTGCGGCCGCCGTTGAGGCAGAAGTCGGCGTGACCCAGGCGTGCCGCCTCGCCGTACCGCCCGGCGTTAGTGTGCAGCACGTGGACGGCGCGAGCATCTCCCGGGTCCAGTCGGAGCGCCGGCGCTGATCTTATCAGCGGCCGCGCGGGGTCCAACCCTACACACAAAAAGTCGATGATCCCAAGCTAGCGGAAAATCGGGAGCCTTTAGAACTGCACAGGGACTTTGGTTGCCTGTGCGTTTTCTTCAGGCCCTTGCATGGTGAGTGCTGCGAGGAATTGTTCCTTAAATTACCGACAGTACCATTTTACGACCCATGTTACTTGGAAACACTGAAGTCTGTTCGTTTTCCGATATCTTTTATTCCACAGACAATAAAATTATGAAATGAGCTACCCTCCACGTCGTTCCCTCAGTAAAACATAGTACACTTCAAGAGAGGCTTAAATAGAGTGTTCCACTTTCGTGGAACTTCCACGAAAGGGACTATTAGCAGTGTCACTGGCATTCCTGATGTCCATGGGCTACGGTCACCACTTAACATCAGGTGGCCCGTCCGCTTGTCTGCTTTTGAAAGCAATAAAAGAGGGAATCATTGGCGTGAGTTGATTGTCTACAACATCATTATTTACCTATGATCCGGTTAAGTCTAAAGTTAAGGTAGTTGGCCATGATGCCACACATGTGGGCGCCCAGCGAGTGCCCCACGCAGGTGAGGTGGTCGGGTCGTAGGCCCGCGCGTCGCAGCGTTCCCAGGGCTTCGGCGGCGCATCTGGCTACCGGGCGCAGGTTGTGCACCGCTGCCACGTAGCAGGGCGGCTGACAGAGCGCGCCCCAGTCCATCATAATCACGTTGTACCCGCCCCGACGGAGGTACGCTTGGAAACGAAACATTGGGTTACTTTCTGAAATGACTGTCTAAATTTAAAGCTGAATTTGTCAATAGTCTCTCAGGAGACATTGGGTATAGAAAATGCACTATTGTCAAATTTAATTATAGGTTTAGAGATCATGCCAGAATCTGATCCATAATTTATTGATTGCGTGAGTTACAGGAGGTTCATGGATGTTTTTTGGGTCAAGGTTTACATTTGCTGAATAACTCTGAGCTGAGTTTTTATTTAGTGCTTGAGAAGGCATGGTACCGACTCCACTACGGCTACGCTGCGTGATGCGGTGCAGTGTGCGAATCGCTTTAGTAGAAGTTTACGCATGGTTAGCCGCGTAAGTGACACAGCGCGAGCGTGATGAACGTAACTTTAAGATAGGCAAGGAAATTGTCAGCATCGAAAGTGAAAGGAAAATGTGCATCATATTGGCTTAATGCAGTCCCCGCACTCTCGACTGCGGGCGGCAACATTGCAACTTTTCACAGCCGTTGCTTTCTCCAGTGTCAATGACCGTTCATGTAATAACGTTTTTGTTTCTGATCTCGGGGTTTTTAGAATATTACATTCTTTTATGTTATTTAGTTAACAGTAATTCAAATAAGCACAAGTGCCGCCACGAAATTCTGAGCGAATGAGGTTTTGATTATTAATCTAGCTAGCACGATCAAACGAAATTGTGAATTTCCAAACACGTTGACTGTTTGACAAACTGTAGCGTAAACGATCAAATTGGTTGGAGACAATCTAATATTAAGTACCTATTTCTAACAGCACTGCACCTCATCTGCGGTCGTTAGCACTCCACCAATCTGCAGGATCAAGGAGAGCTGTGATCTTAAGGCGCCCATTCATAAGCCTGCATATCAGACCGCCGTGCAGGGGGGAAATTTTCTCATGCTCATTTTCTTTAATATTGTTATTACCAAGGCAAGAGAAAAAAAAAACAGTTAAATTTCTATGTCCCGCCGCGCGCCGGCGCCGGGACAGCCTGTATCCCGTATTTTACGAAAATCTACAGACCAGACCACGGGCGGCCGCAAATACAAGAATCGAATTTAAGAAGGGAAGAATATTATACCTACACAACAGGTTTCGAAATCGGAGATTTAAACAACGTTTACGCGATATTTTTATTTTATTTTTAGTAGTCTTAACTCAAATCGATTTGGCGAACGCATATTTTCGCAAATGAACCTAAAATGTACTGACGTCCGTTTTAATATACGCACACCGAATTTAATTAAAGCCAACCTGATGACTATGCTTTTGAATGTGCTTCGTTCTATAATTATGTCAAAAGAAAAAATATTGTTATCTGAGGCCGAAGTGTGAGTTGCGCCTCGATTTAACTTAGTATAGCGTTGGCGTTTACATTGAAAATAGTATGTCGCCTACTAAAGGCTGATATTTGATTCTTAGGTTTTCACGCACATCACTCATGAAATAAAATTAGTTTTAACGGTTAACCCGCACGAACTTTATTTATTTATTGACGTTTCGCAGCCTTTTCAGGTCTGCATCGTCAGAATAATGATTTTTAATTTACTTTGTCGAGCTACCTTTGAAAGATTTATTGAGCGTTCGGATATTTCATTGGAAGATTTTTAAAACTTTATTGTCTATGCATGTACTTTATTTAAGATTCTTGTTTGTAATTTTGAGTTTGAGCTGATATACTCTTCGGTTAGTACAGTACAGTTGAGAGTTAAAACTTACAGTTTTGGAGAGTTAGTACTTATCGTCGTTTGGACTGGGATTTGACAGTTAAGTATATACTGCTTAGCTGTCTGATTTCTAAACTCGATACTGTACTTACCGAAGTGTCAGCCTTAAGGCGAGAAGTGTGTGCCCAGCAATGAAGATATTAATAGATGATGGTATTGTAAGTAATGATGAAGTATGCTTACCATCCCTTAGGACAGTGATGGGTAGAGTGTCGTCCCCACCTGCATACCCATGCACCAGAAGGATAGTCTCATGGGACGGCTCCCAGCCACTCTGGCGTAGCCAATCCTCGCTGAACAAATCCACCTGAAAGCAATGGTATTGCAATAGTTTGGTGCATAATAGGGATGATGACTAATTTTTTTTTCTTCGTTTATCAGGTAGATTATCAAATTGTATCTTCATTATAATACTATTAGTATTATAATATATGATAACGAGGAAAGATTGGATTGTTTGTTTGTTTGTCCTTTAAAGCTTCTGAAACTACTGGGCCTACTAACAAAAGTTACAAATCTATACGAATTTTTACCTTATTATTTTATGGTTTTAGTAGGTAGGTAGGTAATTTTGAATACAGAGTTTGAAGTAGCTTCAAATATCTGAGACACTTAATTCAAAATCTGTTATTATTATACTTTCAAGTTCAACTGACCTATTTGCCGATATAGAAAAGACACAAATATTTGTTTTTGGGCACAAAGGACTCTACGTGTTATGAATATTTTGAATACGGGTTGAACAGCGAGGAGGTCGGCTAGCGGTCGGGCGCATTCTTCGCAATACAAACGACAGACCAACGGCATTATATTGTGGCAAGCAGTGATGCCTGATACAGAATTCGAAAATGCAATAACGGGTGCTTAAAAACTATGGATTTTGGTCCTTTAAAATGGGGATATTCAACAAAGACAGCGGGAACAAGAGATTTTAGCTGATTTTTCTTACATTAAAGAAAAAAAATGGCTAAGTGCGAGTCGGACTCGCGCACCGAGGAGGGCGCCATACAAACCTCAAATGTTTATTTTTATGTTTGAGTTGATTGAATGAAAGGAAAATGGCGGTTTACGATTTATGACGTATTAAAAAAACTACTTACTAGGTTTCGTTCAAATCAATTTTCGGTGGAAGTTTGCATGGTATCATATTTATTTTAGAAGTTACAGGGGGGGGGACACATTTTACAATTTTGGAAGTGTCTATCGCGCAAATTATTCAGTTAACCTCAATATCACAATATCATGAAGACCTATCCATAGATACCACACACATGGGTTTGATAAAAAAATTTTCGAGTTTCAGTTCTAAGTATTGTTTACCCCCAAAATTTATTGTTTTTTTTTTATTTTTGTGTGGAAATCTTAATGTGGTTCACAGAATACATCTACTTACCAAGTTTCAATAGTAAAGTTCTTATAGTTTCGGAAAAAAGTGGCTGTGACATACGGGTGGACAGACAGACATGACTTGATGATTATTGGTTAATGACAATAGTAATAAATAATAATGTTATAATTTTTTTTTATTATTTTTAAAGCATGTAACTGCTTGATGTTTAAATCTAAAGAAAATATAACTAGAAAAAATTCCACGCGGACCAGGCAGCAGACGGGACTCGAACCCGCATCCTTCGCAATCCGGGCGAATGCACTGACCAATTATGCTACCGCGGCCCTCACGGACCGCGTCGAAATTCCTTCTAGCTATTCTTAAGCTGCAAGGCAGCGCCATCTCTTCGCATTATAGGTAAACCCACAATGTCAAATGAATACTTTTACAAGTATTAAACATTTGAAAGAAGAAATAGCAATTATAGTTATAATTTTTTTTTATTATTTTTAAAGCATGTAACTGCTTGATGTTTAAATCTAAAGAAAATATAACTAGAAAAAATTCCACGCGGACCAGGCAGCAGACGGGACTCGAACCCGCATCCTTCGCAATCCGGGCGAATGCACTGACCAATTATGCTACCGCGGCCCTCACGGACCGCGTCGAAATTCCTTCTAGCTATTCTTAAGCTGCAAGGCAGCGCCATCTCTTCGCATTATAGGTAAACCCACAATGTCAAATGAATACTTTTACAAGTATTAAACATTTGAAAGAAGAAATAGCAATTATAGTTATAATTTTTTTATTATTTTTAAAGCATGTAACTGCTTGATGTTTAAATCTAAAGAAAATATAACTAGAAAAAATTCCACGCGGACCAGGCTGCAGACGGGACTCGAACCCGCATCCTTCGCAATCCGGGCGAATGCACTGACCAATTATGCTACCGCGGCCCTCACGGACCGCGTCGAAATTCCTTCTAGCTATTCTTAAGCTGCAAGGCAGCGCCATCTCTTCGCATTATAGGTAAACCCACAATGTCAAATGAATACTTTTACAAATATTAATAAATAAATAATAAAAAAATTATAACTATAATTGCTATTTCTTCTTTCAAATGTTTAATACTTGTAAAAGTATTCATTTGACATTGTGGGTTTACCTATAATGCGAAGAGATGGCGCTGCCTTGCAGCTTAAGAATAGCTAGAAGGAATTTCGACGCGGTCCGTGAGGGCCGCGGTAGCATAATTGGTCAGTGCATTCGCCCGGATTGCGAAGGATGCGGGTTCGAGTCCCGTCTGCTGCCTGGTCCGCGTGGAATTTTTTCTAGTTATATTTTCTTTAGATTTAAACATCAAGCAGTTACATGCTTTAAAAATAATAAAAAAATTATAACTATAATTGCTATTTCTTCTTTCAAATGTTTAATACTTGTAAAAGTATTCATTTGACATTGTGGGTTTACCTATAATGCGAAGAGATGGCGCTGCCTTGCAGCTTAAGAATAGCTAGAAGGAATTTCGACGCGGTCCGTGAGGGCCGCGGTAGCATAATTGGTCAGTGCATTCGCCCGGATTGCGAAGGATGCGGGTTCGAGTCCCGTCTGCTGCCTGGTCCGCGTGGAATTTTTTCTAGTTATATTTTCTTTAGATTTAAATAATAATGTGACAAATATAATAAAGTATTAGTATGTTAATACGAACACCTCAACGTAAGTGTACTGTAATTACTTTGTAAGAGATGTAAAAGATCGTTGTATCAGACTTGGAAAAAGCGGAACCGCTTAGGTTGAAAGTGTACGGATACGCATTGTCGTAAAGGCGTGAGAAAACGTGGAAAACCGGTACATCTGGCAACACAGGATGGGAGTCACAGCGAAAGTGAAAATTAAGATTGAACCAGTCTAAACAAAATAAAGGGATATGTGTATGCACAGACGTGTACGTAGATACATATTTAGATTATGGCTGAGCTCCCTTCGGTACCAGAATAATTTTAGGATTACTTAAAAAGGAGGATAACGAACAGACGTATGTCATTGGAAAGCACTTTTTACGACTACTGTTTGTAACTGTGGGGGTTAGTATGCTGTGGGCAAATAATTGTAGCTAAATGAAAGTTCAATAAAGGCTTTTATTTCTGTTCGTTTTTTGGCTACAACTTTATTCACAATAGCGAATTGAGACTTGCTCCCAAAGTAACAAATTATAGTTACGAGTATGAGAACTGCTATATTAAAACATACAGCTGATCGTTATTGGTCGGTGGTTACTTATGTCCAATGCTTTTCTGCCCGTTCGTATGTTTGTAATACCTAATTTACATAAAAAGAAGATTCGCATAAGAAGAGATATTTAAATTTCGGACCTCGCAATGGAAGGTCAGACTTTAGTTATTTATATCCTGAGTTGCGCGAAAAGATCATAATACCATATTTTATCTTGTTGCAATAAAAAGGTTTACCCAAAATTGTGCAAACATAAATCCTTCTTTGTAATAACTTGATATGTGTAGAGATATACTTCGAGTCATGCCCCCCTAGCATGAGCACCGCGATATGATATATAACGCGTTTTTATCACGCTCAATTGTCAAATTACTATGGAGTTTGACAGTTGGACGCGATAAAAAACGTGATATAATGTAAATTGTAGTGATCATGCTACAGGGACTGGGAAAGGACATGGATTAGATTTTATCCTAGAAACAATCCTTAAAGGAGTTAAAAATGGTAGTGGAAGTTTATATATATATATGTATGGGGAAATCAATTGAATTATGCAGACAAAGTCGCAGGCTCCCGTTAGTGTGTAATAATTTTCGCAAGCCGGTAGCACCTTGCATGTTGTTCAGGTCAGTCACAGCTGGCGGCTCCGACCGTGGACTGCTTTTGCCATTTTTCATGAATTGTCGACATTGGACGATAAACTAGAAATTAATAATATTCAGTAACAACTGTATTAATAAGGTACTCGTAGTATTCTTTTTCAGTAGTATGTAAATACCTACTGAGACTGGATTGTACAAAAAAATAAATTAAAATTCAGAAAGATGTCATAGCTAATAATTAATTAATTACGCTTGATTTATTTCATCTGTTTAAGCCGACAAAATGGTAGAATAAAATTTTGAAAAATATTTTTTTAGGGTAGCTCCCTACATGTAACCTGTGGATTTTTTTTATCATCATCTACCCCATCGTGTAAGGAAACGTTGAATAGGTCCTTTAAAATTACTACGGGGTTCCTAAGACTACTAGAGTAAGGAAATTATGAGAGCATGAAAAGAAAAACGAGCAAAAAAAGAGATAGTACAAAAATCAGTAATCGATACGTGCATAAAGAAAAAAAAAACACAAAACATAAACAAAGCCCGCCGTATTGCACAAATCGGAGAGTATTAAAAAAAAATAGAGAGCTTCTCTCAAGACGAATTGCTTTTTTTTGGCCCGTTCTCTTGTTCGAGAGACGCAACGACCAGAGCCATTGACATCGCTGCTTACTGGGCGGCATCTCTATAAGTAGAACGAAAAGAAGAAGAAGAAGAAGTGATGTGTTAATGCGTCTGGCACACCCTGGGTAACTGATATTTTATTCTCTCAAGCTGCAACTTTAATGCTCTGTCAAAGCTGAAAAGTATATGTGAGTAAGGATATGCATCAGAATCAGAATATTTAAAGATTTACTTGTTCATCAAACCTATTGCGAATATGGTGTTGTTAAACCGCAGTAATGGAAATAATATAAAAAAAACATACTTATGGAGTAGGTATGTTTTTTTACCTATTAAGAAGAAGAAGAATTATATTATTTAAGAAGGAAGAGAAAAATAATGCAGTTTTATAAGATAAAAATAAGCACATATTCATAACTTGTGAAGTAATTGGATTCCGTATACTTACTAACTTTCACCCCCTATTGGCTACATTTTAAGCCTTTAATAATATTTACAAAAGGTGTCTGTGTCTTTTTCACAGTTCAATAAATTTCCATAATTCACCAATATCAATTCAGTTGTTCACACGTTCACAACTTGTATGTATTGTGCAATATTACGAAAACGTAATAGCCAAACATGAAAATTAGGTAGTTTGGGTGGATTCTATGTTTGCACATGGAAAATTTACATATACGTGGTTGTTTTTAAACATTTTTACGCAAGTAACGTAATACTGTCTTTCTGCATATCTACGTAAGTGCAACTGTGGGAAGTTTACGCAATTTAAATGTTCTAAACAATAGAATAGACACAGTAAAAACATCACTTATTCTCATTAAACGAAAGACAAGTATATGCACAGTTAATTATGATATACAAATCAAATTATGGTTTTACCAATTGACTCTTATACAAAACTATTGTCGAAAATCAACCGAAGAACATTATTTTTGTGGGCTCTCGAAATGGAAGGATGTGATGCGTTGATGTCTTTTACAGCAAACTGTTTATCACACTAATATTATAAAGGCGAATGTTTGTGAGTGTGTATGTTAGTTACTTCTTCACGTCTCAACGGCTGGAGCGCTTTTATTAAAATTTGGTATGGAGTAAGCTGACACACATAGGCTACGTTTTACTGCGGGAAAATATCCCCAATGAACCGCGGATAACACCGCGGGACACAGCTAGTTAACAATATTGGTGGTTGTTTGGTGAATTGCTCATGTTGTTTCTTAATTATCACTGTTTATTTTACATAGAAGCTGTTGGTTTGCTCGTGAACTAGCTTAGCCGGCACCGGCCCGGGTAAAAATCGTCTCATGAAAAAGCGCTTTTACTCTGCATTTTTTAGGTAAAAAAGGCAGCAAACATGTGTATGGCCCTCCTGATGGTAAGCGACCACCATATCCTATAGATGCTTGTGATACGAAAACTATTTGTTGACTATCCTGACTTAATCCCCTACCCCATGGAGCCCTGAAACCTTACTCACCGACAGAAATACAACACCATCAAAAGTTGGAGTTATTTTAGTGTCGCCGCACACGGGCCACACGCCACAGCCACAAACACCGCCACGAGAAGCTAGAAGTGGCTACTAAAGTGGCTGAAGCGCGCGACAGCGGCCGACTAAGGCAAGGGAGAGAGGTGTGGGGAATCGCGCGAGTGATGTGTGGCGGCGTTTTGTATCGGTGCATAAAGTAGCTGGTCCAAGCCACAAGAAGCGAGCAACGACGATTTGTAGCGTGTAGCGGCCACCGGCGTACCGTGTGTGGCGAGTCCATATAAAATGTATGAAACCTACAAGAAATATGCCGGTGGCGGCGTTTTGTGGTTGTGGTCGGTAGCCCTTGTGCGGCGACACTTACGGTGACCTTACTTTGGGGCTAGTCTAATTATTGTGTGTAATTTAAATTAAAAAAACAAATGTATCAACAACTGACCGTTTTCTTGACCGGCTCAGCCTCCGTGTACATGTTGAAGAGCACAGCAGGATCAGGGCAGGGCTCCCGCTCGCGGCGCCACACGCAGTCTTCGAACGAGGCATTGTTGAAGTTTTCGTTGTGCAGAAAAAGCGCCTCCTTGATCGGGCGGCGCTGGCATTCCGACCCTGTGACGTATAAGAAGTGGTAATGTTAGTTGACATCCTCAACTATTTTATTAGAGTTAGGACATATTTTGCACACACATTGGAAGGTCAAATGACGCTAACAATATGGTTCTACTTTGTATCGAAAAAATTTTGATGTCAATATTATTACGCATATCAGCGGATGGCATCTACTTCATGTTACAGAAAATCGTTTGGTATTCACTCATTTAGCAGACATTAAAACACATAATTTTGTATTTTAATTAAATTCCACAATAATTAAAAAGCTGAATCGTATTGTAGAAAGTTCACAGTTAGAATCGTCTTTTGGCAAACAAGCAAATTAACTCTTCCTTAATATATTTATCAATAATATTAGGTGGTGGGCGCTCCGCCGGTCGCTGCGAAACCACGCTCGCTTCGCTCGCTCGGCTCGCGCTTAATTAAGGTCACAACACTAACTTTACCTACGAGTAACTCGCTATATTAATAATAAGATAGGCTTAACAAAATTATGCAGAGATAAAATTTTCCAAATGTAATGCTCACTAAAATTCTACAATTTTAAAAGCATGCCATTGTAGAATAGTTCATATAAACAATCGACCAAACAATAATTTTATATTTACAAAAAAAAACATTAAAAATAATCGTTGAAAGAAGGTCATGTCACGTATGTTATGCTTATGCCTAATGAATTTCGGAGCATCAATATTCTGCCGAATAAAGGGAACCCTAACAATATACCTGACGCCCGATGCCCGCTTCATCATTTAACTTTTAGGTTTAATTAAGTTTGGCTTTCTTCGACCATGAATTAGAATAAGAGAACACGTGACTTTAAATTTATTTGTGTTCGTTCGAGGTGTTAATCGCCAATCGAAAGCGACACTAATCGAAAATGCTTTTTATCGAAACTATAATATTTTATGCCGTAACAGAGCCATCCCTGTTCTAATTTAAATGCCTATTATACTTAATGTAAATGTGAAAAAACTATTAAAGTATATAAAATTTTTATTAACACCACAGTTCCGTTTAAAACTACTTATAAAAAAAACTCCAGTAAAGGTTTGTGTCGGCTGAGCTAAAACGCCGGTAAATGACGGTAAAGGCTCGTGATGTTTCTTTTCTGCAATAAACAGAACTTTACGAGTACTTTAGGGTTACGACTGGCAAGGTAATGACGGCTGATACAGTAATCTTTGCATCTGAACTTTACCCTATTTTTAGCAATATAATGGTGTCGATTCTGACATGATTCTTTAAACTTAAAACTAAATTTAACGTCAGTCTGATCTTTTCATCCTCTATAGGGAATGATAGGGATAGACTGATGTCAATTTTAAGTGTAGCTTTAGAGAATCGTGCCAGAATCGACACCACTATTTTCTTAACCATGACAAAAATTAAGGGCACAAACCTACTTTCTGGATAGAACTAGCTGTAAACCATCAAGGATGAATAATGCAGCCAGGGTCGATGACCTAGCAACGTGCCTTATGAAATGCAGTAAGGCAGCGAATCTCACAACATTAGTTTTAGGTTAATTGTTTTACTTTGTACAATTTTAGTGGCTGTTTCATATTTTAAACTAATGTTCTAAATTAAATGTAACAACATTTACAACAGTTGGAAGACAATATTATTTATATATTGGTTCCAAATAAGGGAGAGCTTTTAAAAGTAAGTAATTTAAAGTTATAGTTAGTTCTGTTGCTGTACATTAATAATAATTGAAATGAGTGCACAAATAATACAGAAAGTCGTCTAATAAATTATCTTGGGGCGGTCAAATCGAGCGATCTTGCTGACCATGCCAAATCGCCAAAATGAAATCGTGCTGTGTGTGCGGTTACTGTGGTTGCACCGTCTTGTTGAAACCCCAGGTTCACTCTCCTGCGGAGTAACGAGCTCCATTGCTTGTCTGTTTTTAATTCTGCATTTGTCTAGTTTACGTCTAAACTAGACGACATTTGCAATAATTATAACATCATCGAGCTCCTCCGTGCTTCGGAGGGCACGTTAAGCCGTTTGTCCCGGCTGCATCTGCAGTCGTTAGCACCCACCAATCCGCACTGGGCCCGCGTGGTGGGTCATGACCCAGTCTTCCATCCATGACCCAATCTTTCTATTCCATCCTTCGGGAAGGCCTGTTTCCCAGCAGTGGGGACATTAATAGGCTGATGATGGTGATGATAACATTATCGGATAATGCGATTACTTTTGCGCTACCCTGTACTAGTGATGAAGATCTATAAACACGTGTTAGCTTTGGAAATTACTGGATGCGACGGATTGTGAAAAGGTAACAACCAAATGTAGTAGTAGCAACTGAGTAATAATTTATCGGAAATTTAAATCAAATTCTGTTAATTATGTAAAGAAAAGAGAAAATATAAACTACAATTTATTTTGTTTCAGGACGAGTTTAAAACGGACTCCAATAGCGACCAACCGAGCTGCCAGAGAACCTCTAATTCAATTACTAAATAACTTATTTTTTTACCATAAAAATGATATCCAACGAATTCAAGATAATCTTCTAAACACACACAAAGCAAATATTCTATTCTTTACCTATTTCTCTTGTGCTCTCAACCTAGCAAATTAAGAATTTGTGATTAAAGTTTTACAAACAATATTCTTTAAATAGTCTGTCGGTTACGACGACACGGAGGTAAAAGCGTGGCAGGCAACACACCAACATAAATTCCAACATTCCTGTCCAATTGACACATAATAAGTATTAGGTAGTAATTATTTTTTTCGAAATGGGAACGCGTGACATGTGCACCTATGTTGCAAGCTCACGACAACACCAGAGATTTCACAAACCACCATGAATTATTCCGCTCACGGGCCCATAGAAGGTTTCAACTTGCATAAATGTAGTAAGTAGATTCCAATCAAAACGAAAAACTAGCATTATCATGAATTTATAAGAATCACTTTCCTTAAACTACTCATTAAGAAGAAAACTTACTTGACTGAAAAAAATCGTGAATCGGACCTGCATTACCAGGGATTTCGTACTATCGTGGAAGAATATATTTGAAAACAGAGAACAAACACGCAGAGAAAATCGCCTTTCTCTTATATCTTTCCTTCTAACTTTACTTCAATGCTAGAGGGGCCGCATATATGCCCGCTAGACACAAAAGACATAAAATTGGAATATAGACACAAAATAGGCTTTAGCACCCTAGAACGTTGGAGATATGGTCTAATTACTAATAGGTTACTGTCTATTCCTTCCCTGGTATGTTACAGAATTATGACATAAGAACACAAAACATACAACGACGACTAAATAAATTAAAAACATGATGTTAAAAATGTATTTGCTTAGGAGTTTATTTCAATTAGCATATTAATGGTTCTAAAGTCCATATTATTGCTAATTGAAATAAACTCGTCAGCAAAATAATACAATTTTAAAATCATGTTATTAATTTATTTAGTAGTTGTTGTATTCTTCGTGTTCTTATGTCATAATTCTCTTCTTATCTTAAGTATTAACTAAAGAATATTTATTAGAAAAATATAATATTTCTAGTAAAATGTTCATTAGATTTAAACATCCAGCAGTTAAATGCTAAAAATTAAATATATTAATGATGCCATAATCCGGTTTTTTGGACGGACAGTGAAGTATAATAGTGGGCTAGTTTCGTTGGTTTCCATAACAACAAAACAAAACCCCGAAAAATAATACAGTAACATAACTTTAATGTGATTAAATTTACTTTTAATTAATGTCATAACGTAATAATAGTTAATTTTATAAAAGTCTACATAAAAATAACTATGACAAAGACGTAACATACAAATATCGAAACAGAGAATCCTAAGAATCTTTAAAATAACTTATAAATTTATTTTTTTAACTGATTAAAATAATGCTCATTTTATCCTATAAAGAAGACATAAATGGCGTATATGGACAAATGATAAACATGGACATATTAGTTCAAATGAACCAATTGGTATCCCTTGAGTAATTGTAAATAATGTAAACACGTCAATATTTGGTAATCACCACTAACCTTGGTAGAGTAGCGCGGCTGTTAGTACGAGGAGCAGCTGCGCAGGCACACGCATCCTTACCGGTTGGTCGACGTCGTAATACTAAACTTACCAAAGACAATTCTGCATCGGCAATTGGCAACGTACACTGCGGAACTTAAGACTGGCCCGTTCACTCTTCTTCGTATATAATCCACAGATTAAATCAAAGAAACTCATTCGTGCTGAAAAGCTTTGTTCCCATTTTCACGACTCACTCATGAAAAACAATTCATTGTGGGTCACAATAGGGTCAAAATAGCGCGAATCTCATAGGATTCGGATAGACCTACGGATACTAAGGAAGATACTCGAGTATAGTTCCTACCAGGGATGTTGCAGATGCCGATGTTTTCACATCCGCGGATACGGATGCGGATGCGGAGTTTAGCAGGCTCACATCCGCGGATGCAGATGCGGATGCGGATGTATAAGATATTATGGTTATATATATTTGGTTCAAAATAATCCTATACATTACTTTTGGTCGGTGGTGACATTGTTGACTAAATAGTTAGATAAACTATCAATAACGGGAATCACACTGGTAAAATAACGAATTTCGTCATAAAACGATAATTTTTCCTACAATAAAACGTATTACCGGCGTAATATAATAGAATTTACCTTGTGATCTTATGGATATTAGTTTTAAATAATATAAAGTTTTCTTGTAAACTCTTCTTATTTACACACTGTATCACAACAACATTAAAAATACCTATCTATCTTTATGATACGATAAGTAGTTCACTTTCACATCACAGCGCAAACAAACACGTAATATTTATTCACTTGCAAGAAACAATTGATGCACTAGCTAGAACAAACAAACGTGTCGAATCTTGTCACCAATTTCTTCGCTCCCATTGGTTATTGTCACGTGCGACCGGCACGAGTCAATCACCGGCCCCGCCCAATTTCTTTCTTGTCGCTACTTGTATAATATTCGCATCCGCATGAACATTCGCATTGATTAATGCGGATGCGGAAGCAGATGCAGATGTCCAAATCAATGCGGATGTTCCGCATTTGCGGATGCAGATGCGAATGTTCGCAACATCCCTGGTTCCTACTACATTAAGCTCTCCTCCTTTACTATATTTCCTATAAAAACTACTTAATTATATATATTATAAAAACCAGTCGGTCCAGGCATCAGACCGGACTCTGTCCGAGTGAATTTTCTTAAGATATATAATATTATAAAGATTAATATATTACTTTTATATTACTAGCCGCCGCCGCGCCGCCCGCGCCTTCGTACGCGTGGAGTTAGTTATTTGCACATACATTTTGACCCCAAAATTATTTATATCCAAAAAGTGCTTACACATGTAATTCGATTTGATGTTTTTGAAATCTCATAGATAGCGCTGCCACGGTAATATTATAATATTACCGTGGCGCTGCTTTAAAATTGTCTATTATGTCTATCGGCCTAAGTTACTTATAGTGTAGTGTGAAGCTAGCTTATAGCAATATACTCTTTATTGTTTTACAACAAATGGCAGCCTTAATGCCACATGGCATTCTCTACCAGTCAACAATCAGGCAAGCGTTTTTATCACGCTTAATTTTCAAATTACTATGGAACCCGCTAAATTGGATATACATAGGTACTTAATTGTTAAGTCTTTTTTGCATGTAGATTTGCCAAATTATAGATGTTTTTGTTTTTATGAGCAGTTATACTGAGACCTTTTCCCCCATATTAATAAACAAGGTATAAACTTAGAATGGCCCAATCTCCGTATTCCATCCATAGGGAAGGCCTGTGACTCAGCAGACATTAATAGGCTGATGATGATGATGAAACTTAGAATAATAACACTGTGTTTTGTTCATATCACTCAAATTCCATTTGTCATTCAATGAACAGCGACAAAACATGCAGTAACGAATACTATGTTTATTATTAATGCCGTTTGGGTATTTGTTTTGCCCATAATCTGTGTTATCCAAAGCACAATATAAATAATAAATACATATTATAATAATTAATTTATGTTTCCCATGGTTTGAAAAAGAAGTTAATGAGCCATGTTTAACCCCTTCCGCCCCTAAAGGTTATTTTTTGGAAAAACCACGAAAAAGAGGCGGGATCTAAATCGATCGGAAAACTCGATATGCCCTACCTCTCTTATACTGCAACTTAACTAACAATTTTTAAGGAAAATCTGCCCATTTCTTCATTTTTATTATTAATATTAATTATTTGTTCCCATTCGGGCACGTTAAAATTACCTAGGTAATCATAAAGTGCCTAAGTTTAATAATTTAGTTATTAAGGTACCTTTCGTTTTGAGTGATATTTATTTGGTCACGTAAAGAAAAAAAATCTGTAAGTTACTAAAAAAAAATATTTACTTATATAGGTACATGCTCCTATAATTGATTGATAATAAATAAGTAAATGGTAACAATAATAATTAATTCAATAACATGCGTTATTAACTGGTAGAGCAGAAAACACTCTATGACGAACGCTTATCTTCATTTGGGGTTACTTTAAAACCATTATGTAGCATAAGTTAGACAGAATGCCTTGACAAAAGTTCAGCGCCTGGCGCATTCTAAGTTAGGTACTGATCTAGGTGTAACATTGCCACAATTTAATTTTATTTTCAAGCGCATGGTACAGGTATTGCGTCCTATAAATGTAATCATTGAGTCAAACTTAAAAACAAAAATTAAACTTAGGTATCACAGTTCACTTGCAGCAATTTTGCAAATTTCGATTCAACTAACATAGATTTAACCCATAGAAAAATATCCTAAAGTCAATGGAAATTTGAAATTATTGTATGGAATGAATCAAGTTTTAATTAAATATAGATTCAGGGGAAATAGCTGCAACCTTAAATATAAAATTGCCCTTTGGCACTGGTCAATTGTAATGGAAATTAAGCTTCGTGTAGATTAATTTAAGGGTGTAGAGAAATTAATTACCTAAATGATAGTTAATCAAATCAAACTTTGTATACCTAGGTTACTAACGAATGTCTTCATGTGGCTTTTGTCGCCCTTCACAGCTCTTGCAGTCGTCCCTAGCAGACAGCCAGTGTTGCCACCTTGGTGGTTTTTCCACCAGTACTGGTGCTTTTTCACGGCTTCTAGTGGTATATTTTCATTATCTAGCAGGTAAAGTTTTTTTTAGTGGTTTTTAACATGAAATCTAGCAACATATTTTTAAGGGGGAAATGCCCTAACTTTCCGAATTTTCATAATGTTCTATGTGGTTACTCACAGTTATTTCTGTAGCATCTCATACATATTCACTGGTTTTTTATTTAAATTAGGGTTTTTTGTTATCAGAGATGTAATTGTCATTTAGCGGATTTTGGTGTATTTTATTAAATCCAAATTTTTGAAATCTGGCGATTATTTACCTTTGACTTGGCGCCTTAAAAAAATCCAAGGTGGCAACACTGCAGACAGCTGCCCTTTGTTTTACCCGGAGAAATGTGGAACTCCTCCCCCAACCTCCCGTTCACCTACTTAGCCAACCCCTAGGGCTGGTTCAGTGGCTGCTCGGGATAGGGGAGCCCTACCCATTAAAACTCCGGGATGTGCCCTCCTTGCCAGCGGTGGAGGAACGCGGCGTGGGATCCTTCCTGAAAATTAAGCAAGCCGCCGCACATAGGGTATTTTACGCGTATATTATATTTTCTTTTATTATTATTTTTACGCGTATTTTGCTGATCTAGCCGGTCAAGAGTATTTATTATGTTTTTTTTATTCTAGAGACTTTCTCTGGTTAACTTTAAGTTATTATAATTTATTTTTATGAATAGTAACAAAATATTGGGAAAAATATTAAAAATATTTTTTAATAATTTATAATTTCAATACTTAATCTTTTGCCGATTTTAGGCCTATTTCTATCCTTCCTTTCTATTTATGTAACTATGATGATGATGAATTTCATAGTTCTTCATTATCCTAAACACTTTCAGTTTCCCCAGAAACCTCTTGAATCATAATCTGAGTTTTCACTGTCTTGGTATATCACCTCTAAGTCAAAAAACCGGCCAAGTGCGAGTCGGACTCGCGCACCGAGGGTTCCGTACAAACCAAGGTTTACAAAGTTCGTTCATTACGACAATCGAGTCATAACTATGGTATTTTTATTGCAAAATGAAATTCATAACATTACAATGGGGAAAGATGGAGGAGCATAAATTTAAGACAAAGATCTCTTTATCGTTTAAGTAATCCTTTATTTTATACTAGTGGCCCGCCCTCGCTTCGCTTCGGTGTAGAGCTGTAGTGTAAACAATAGTTTTTGTTCTCGGGCTTGTGTTATAAACAATGACTTTATTTATATAATTACACGTGTTATTGTGAGTCAACCATAAAAGATAGACATATGCTGTTGCGGGATATTTTTTAGACAATTTTATGTAGAATATTTCCGTCATACATGATTTCTATGTAACTTTAACCATTAGGGCTGCACACGCGACGGAAGCTTAAAAAATGGAGTAACTTCTCCCGTTTTCCCAACATTTCCCTTCACTACTCTGCTCCTATTGATTGTAGCGTGATGAAAAGTATACTATAACCTGCCCAGGAGTATGAAGAATAATTGTATCAAGTTTCGTTAAAATCCGTCGAGTAGTTTTTGTTTCTATAAGGAACATACACACAGACAGACAGACAGACAAAAATTTTACTGATTGCATTTTTGGCATCAGGTTCGATTACTTATCACTCCCTGATAGTTATTTTGAAAATATATTTCATGTACAGAATTGACCTCTCTACAGATTTATTATAAGTATAGATTAACACATATCATTTATCTATAATATAACTGAAACACTTATACTAGCCTTGCAGCAGACTTGCGAAAGTTCTTTTATTAAAGTTATTTATTTACTAAGTTTTTTAGTCACTATTTAGAAATCTGGTTCAAAAATATTAATTAAGTATTAAATTTGAACCAGACCTGTAAATGGTGACTGAAAAAGTTATGAATAGTACCACATTGAACATTGAAGTTCGAAAACGGGAAGTGGTCTTTAGGTTTTAATTCCCTTGCGTGTAGTTGCGAGTTTCAAAATATGCGGTATCAATGGTTGTACTTTTGCGTTTTTGCGTTGACTTACATTTTTTTTTTTTCACGGGTTAAAGGCAATTAGATCTAAGTATTTGATATGAATTTCAACTTGATAGCTCTACGCGTTCATGAGGAAAAAAGTAATAAGTTTATATTTATTAAAAAATATATATTTTGTAATGTAACTAAAAATTTAAGGTTTTCGGAATTTTTCCTTTATGTCTGCTATAAAACGTTGCTTCATGCCAAATTTCAAGATTCTAGGTCGACTGGAAGTACCCTTTAGGTTTTGATTCCCTTGCGAGTACTTGCGAGTTTCAAAATATGCAGCTTAAATTGCTGTTTCTTTTGATTGCGTTGACATAGAAGTTTGATTTTGTTACAGCTTAAAGGTATTATAGACCTGAGTATTTGGTATGAATTTCAATTTAATACCTCTACGCGTTTATGAGGAAATGGGTAGTAAGGTTAAAATTATTAAAAAAAAATATATTATGTGATGTAACTAAAAATTTATGGTTTTCGTAATTTTTCCTTTATCTATGCTATAAGACGTTGCTTGGTACCAAATTTCAAGATTCTGAGTTCACGGGAAGCACCCTGTAGGTTTTGATTCCCTTGCAAGTGTCGAAAATTTGCGGCATAAACGGCTGTATCTTTTAATTGCGTTGGCTTAGAAGTTTGATTTTTTCACAGCTTCAAGGGACAGTAGACCTGAGTAATTGATATAAATTTCAGCTTCATACCTCCACGCGTTCCTGAGAAAAAGGGTCTTGACAGACGGACGGACGGACGGACAGACGGACAACAAAGTGATCCTATAAGGGTTCCGTTTTTCCTTTTGAGGTACGGAACCCTAAAAAGGGGGCGGGCATGGGCGGCTACTTAGATCATAATAATTTAAAATGAACAGCTATAACCTGTCGTTATCAATTAATATAATAACAGGGAAGAACCCAAAAATACAACAAAAACCTTTCCTGGGAACAAATTTTGAGAATTTTAACCTATATTTTCAAACTAAATAAAGCTTTGTATTTAAAAATATGCGTTCCTGCCTCTTTGATGCATATCCACAACAATATTTTTAAAGAAGTCAGTACTCATGCAAATATTTTACTTTTCATCAGTACCCTTAGTACGAGTTTTACAATTACGAAAACTATGATAGTTTTCGTGAGCTCGCACTCCTGCTAAGGGTACTGATTTTAGTGTTTTCGTTACAATACAAATAAATAGTGTTTAAATTCTATCATCAAATCATTTGCGTCTTCTTAAATTTTAAGTATATTTGGTTACTTTTCACCAAAATGGACATAGAAACATATTTTACAATCACGAAAACTATAATAGTTTTCGTGATCTCAAACTCGTACTAAGGGTACAGATACTATCACGCTTACGAAACGCGTAAGATACGTTCAGTTGAAGCCATGACTGATTTCCAGGCAAAACCAGTGCGCGAAAGCATCCGACAAGAGACCAGGATGGGATGACTTTTGTGTTCTAGTCATTCGAGAACTAAAAGAACCATATTTTTTTATCTGCGACAAATTCTTATACTTAATTTGATTTATGACCGACTAGATCAGCAAAGACCCCTATGTGCGCCGCCGGCAGCCTGCTGCCCTGGCCCATGGCCATCTCGATCTACGGTAAATACGCCCCGGCCTATAGAAGATAAAATTTTTAATTACCAGAGTATTATTTGAAGTAAAAAAAAATGTATCTTAACTAAGTCTTTACAAAGGAAATAAACTTGCAATTTTTTCGTGATTGAATGACAAACATCCACTTTCAAAATTTTAGTAAGTATTAAACGTATTTGAAGAATAGGTACCTAATATTTATAATTTTATAGCAACTAAAGCAAAACTATGAAGTATTTGGAAAATTCAATACTCATCTGAGATTGTTGACTCTACCGATAGCAAATGATGTAAGTAGGTACTATATATAAATTGTTTTCTTTTCTACAGAAAACATCGATTGAGATAGATCTCGATACTACTGGCTTATAAAATAATATTGTTATTCAGAGACGCAGGACTGGGAATAACAGAAAAACACACAATACGGGAAATGCTTACTTTTCTCTCTCGAGATATTTAGCTACCTACTTAAAGTAGCTACCTAATTAAGTAGAGTTGTGAGGGATTTAGTGGCTCGTGGGGACTGTCCACTGATAAATATTTTTGTAAATAGGGTTATATCTGTCTTTAATATAATTTACTAACATAGTATTAAGTATTGTATACTAACACATGGATCTACGTTGTCCGAATAATAAATGATTTGAATTTGAATTAAGTCTTGATAGACAGAGAGATGTCTTCGTAATATAAAATTGGGTTACGATGACAACTTGTCAATATTGATTTCGGTCAACAAAAACTGAACTAACACAAAAGGCAATTTCGAAGTGCAATTTATATGGCGCTCTATCTACTCCACAAATAATATAGGTATTTAGATTTAAATAAAAGGAAAACTGCAATCGTATTGCCAATTTGTAACACGAGTAGATAAACAATATTATCTTCAACGACCTATTACGATAGGTTAGCCGGTTAGCTCCGCTAACCTTTCGAGATTGTACGCACGACTCTTACACCATACATTTAGTGCAATAGAAAAAAAAACGGATAATTATTTTTAAATTTGCTTGAAATGTTGGAGTTCAGTAGAAACTTAGTTCAGTACAAACTTGACTCAAAGAACGCTCTTACTATTTTAAGCGGAAACGAATTATGTGATACCCACGTATTATAAGAGCGAAGCATGGTTGTTGTCAGTGTTCGCGTTAGCATATTTGTAATATATGTACCTATACTATAAAAACTCAATGCTTCAATGCTGCTCTATAACATGCGCTCTACGCTATACGTTTGTGTGTGTATATTCCAAGCACACAGAAGAAAGGACGCGACCGAGCGAGACGCCGCGACTGCCTTCGCAGGTAAACGCGCGCCCGCGCCGCCAGTCTCAGACACGCGCCCCGTGAGCGCCCGCGTCCTACGACCGACATTCCGCGATCACCTGCCCATAAAACAACAACAATACGAAACAAAACGTTCGGTTTATGACGATAAGCACAAACAGAAAAGTCCTTGAATCAGAACCCTGTGTTTTCTAGTGCAACAGTGAGAACAAATACATAATCACAATCCAGTTAATTGCGCGAATGCCACGGTCTACAACCTACGCAGCCGGCGTCCCCCACCTCCGTTCATTCAAGGACCAATCGTTGAACTCATGCTGCTGCCGCTTTCGTGCTGTAGTCGTAATTCACTGTTGTTTTGGAAATAAACTTTTGACCACCGCAGCAATGAAGACGTTGAGCTGACGGCCGCATGTAAATCTGTCTCAACGACAATGTCAATCAATCAGAACGTGGGCCAATTCAATAAGCAAAAACAACAACTAGGTAAACAGGGCTCGACGGAACCGGTCAACTTTCCTCCACGGTATCATCCGCCTCCGCCGGCCAACGGTGGCCCCAAACTAAACACTGTGGATCTGGCTGTCAAAGAGTTTAAACCTCCATACGCAACAAAAAGTATTGATCCCAATAAGTTATCGTATCCTTACGGGGTCGGGGGACACGGAATTGGACCCGGCCCATATCCCAGTGGTTCTGTACCATTCGTAAAATATCCTCAAGGATATCCACAAGGATACCCACTCCCTCCAGGTGCTTTGCGTTTAATCCGACCACCAGCAGAAGTGATAACAAAAGCTATTGTGCACGAATCAGAACCAACAACTAGAGCACGTAGTGCGGACGATACACAGAGAGCTCAAAGGAACATCGAAGAGGAACAGATTCATCGACGATCAGCCGATATGTTAAAATTTACGAAACGAGTTGAACCTGATGGCCCTCGAGCTTCGACGGATCAAAGGAGGCAAATACAAACACTTTTAGATGAAATAAAAGCATTGAAAGAAGCCAACCGTCGATTGAGTGATGACAATCAGGAACTTCGTGATTTATGTTGCTTTTTGGATGATGATAGACAGAAAGGTCGGAAGTTAGCTCGCGAATGGCAAAGGTTCGGTAGATATACAGCATCTGTGATGCGTCAAGAAGTATCAGCATATCAAAACAAACTACGGGAATTAGATGACAAACAACAGGAGCTTATTCGCGACAACTTGGAATTAAAGGAGTTGTGTTTATACCTCGATGAAGAACGGGAAAGAACAACTTGTACAAACTGCGGCAGAACGTCAGGTAGAGAACGAGATGATGGAGATGGTAGCAGCAGCGGCACGAATGTGGAAGAAGGTCCCAGAGCAGCACCCAATGTGACCATCACTCACCCACAACTCGCAGAGAGGACGGTGCAGTACGTTCGAGATTTGGAACAAAAAGTGCGCCGACTGGAAGCTGAAAAAGGCTTAGGTGGGGGCATTAATGAAAGACCGGAGGCAGTTGTCCGGGCTCTACAGGTACTAGAAGTACGAGAACGAGTTGAAAGGGAAAGGCGACGGCCCGCACCTGACATGGATTCAGGAGAGCAAGCTTTAGTACGCGAAATGTGCAATGTAGTGTGGGGTAAACTTGAGGACGCCCCTCCGCAGGCACCTCCCCGTTGAGTGATATTATATTCCTACTATAAACCACATTGTCAGTGATGAATTACAAAACCACAGTCTTAGTGAAAAGTGTAGACTGTAAATAGTATGTTGTTGGAATGCCACTCGATCGAGGCCACGGCATCGAGTCTCGTGACCCAAAGAAAAGAATTAAGTGCTTGACCTTGTTTATCAATCGAACATAACAGAACTTTGGCTGCTTACTTAGTAGTAAATGAATGAAAAGCCCATTATAGTGGGACGCCATCTTGCCATTGATTAACAAGCAAAAAGTTTAATAAAATTATTTTTATAGAAAATCAAAGTACAAAATAGGAATTTATGTAATGTAGACTTTGCAAAACGTAACGATACGTTTATGTTTCATATATTTTAATGTAAATGAGTTAAACGTTTCGGTCAGATTACTTGATACCTACTCGAAGCATGTTTCAATAAAAAATCTGCATCTATTGATATTTCTGTCGTCTCCTATAGGTATAAAAAGAGTTTTATTTTCGATATGACTTTATCAGTTAATACGAGGCTATGTGTTACAAATTTGGTATTGTTTGCGATTACTTTTGCTATTTCAATCACATTTTTTCTGTTTTAGAACTTTATCAACGCTTCAATCTAACTCTAATTCCCATAATTTCTAGTCAGTGTGTATCTTCATAACTTGCCTGTTAATTTTATAATGTCTGAGCCATTCTTGCTTTGTGTTTGCTTCATTTGCGTTTTTAATTAGTGTAGAATTAGTTTTTAGTAATTTATTACAAATTATTTGTGAGAAATAAATTATGTACCTTTGTTTTACTCGATTTTGTTTTAGTCATCATTCTGAAATTTTATTCGATTTATTGTCACTTTATATCATTTCCTAGAGTTGTTTAGGATATATTTTTTTATTTTATCGCTGCTATTGATGGTTGTAATGGCAGAAAATGTAGGCAAAGATAGTCAACAGAGGCTATCTAAAACTGTGAAATTTTCCCATCTGACTTTTACTCTTAATTCGCTGAACCAAAGCTAATTTCATAAAAAAATAGATCAACTGAAGAGGTGTCAATCATACTTAGGTACTATTCTCCTACTCTGCTATCGTCAAATTCCATAAAAAAACAACAAATTCATTAGAGTAGTAACTATAAAAAAAACTTTTTGTCAACTACATAAAAATAAATCCACTAAAAATCAAGAAATTATACATACTTACATAACCTATTTTGTTTTGAAATCTGAAGTTGTTTAAATAAATTACAATCAACAATATTTGGAGTCAGTTAAAAAGGTTTTATTAAAAGTCAGAAAATCAGCTAACAAAGTTTGTTTCCTGGCTGGCATTATAAATATTTAAATATTTCCCACACTCACACCAATTAGCCTAGCCCCAAAGTAAGCACTGTAGGCTTGTGTTATGGGATACTAGGGTAACGGATAAAATACATATATTGATACATATATAATTATCTACATATACTGATACATATATATTATCTAGCAATATATAAACATCTATGTCGAAGGAACAAATTAACTTACATTTGTCCCCACCGAGATTCCAACCCGGGACCTCTGAGTAGGCGACTTGAAACCCAGCGTATATACTACGGAGGTCGTCATTATGTTATTTGTATTTCATCAAATGCACCAAACCCAATAATAAAGTGCACTGGAACTACTACTACCCATCCTCCAGGAGAGAAAGTGCACTTGGATTGCATGGTGGACAGCAAATTGTAAAAATCTCGATAATAATAGTTTGAGGATTTTTGTTTATAACTAAAGAAAATTTGTCTAGAAAAAAAACGAGGGGTTGCACTCCAGGGGTGCCGGCAGAAGTGAAAACTTGAATATTAACGTTGTGTATTTTTGGAATGGTTATTTTGCATGAATTGCTTTAATTATCAGTATAAAAGTACTATCATGTATGTGGTACAATACAATATTGATTTATTGCGCTATCGTACACAAACATGACAATGTATATTACATTAAAAAAGATTATCTCAGAAAAATCAACTTACATGAATCACGTTTAAGCGCACCTAGCGACATTTATTGTAAAAAAAATGCATTTTCTTCGCAATAAAGCTACATTACAATTTATATTACATTAAAAAAGATTATCTCTCAGAAAAATCAACTTACATGAATCACGTTTAAGCGCACCTAGCGACATCTATTGTAAAAAAAATGCATTTTCTTCGCAATAAAGCTGCCACGTGGATGTCCTAGATCTAAAGACTTATTAGTATAAATACGATAAAATAAAATATTACTAAGTTTCGTCCAATATATTGAAACAACGTTTCCAATTTTATTGTGCGTCATGATGCGATCAGCCCACGTCTTTAACCTGACATTTTTTAGTCATACAAAAAAAGTTTTCACTTCAAAAATTCCACGCCGACCAGGCAGTCGAGGGGGCACGAATCCGCACCCTCCGCTATCCGGGTGGCCATTAGGTCCGCGGTAGCATAATGGTCAGTGCATCCGCCCGGATAGCAGTTCAATGCTTAAAAAGTAAAATATCACTATAATTGCTATTTCTTCTTTCAAATGTTTAATACTTGTAAAGGTATTCATTTGACATTGTGGATTACCTACAATGCGAAGAGATAGCGGTGCCCTGCAGCCTAAGAAATACTAGACAAAATTTGGCACGGCCGTCAGGGCCGCGGTAGCATAATTGTCAGTGCATCCGCCCGGATAGCAGTTAAATGCTTTAAAAGTAAAAAAAACACTATGTAAGTTTCCTTCTTTCAAATGTTTAATACATGTTATGGTAGGTATTCATTTGACATTTTGGATTACCTACAATGCGAAGAGATGGCGTTGCCTTGCAGCCTAAAAAATGGTAGACAAAATTCGGCACGGCCATTAGGGCCGCGGTAGCATAATGGTCAGTGTATCCGCCCGGATAGCGGAGGGTGGGGAGTCCGAGTCCCGTCTGATGCCTGGACCGCGTGGAATTTTTTCTAGTAAAATTTTCTTGAGATTAAAACATCTAAGTAGCAGTTCAATGCTTAAAAATGACGACCTCCGTGGTATATACGCTGGGTTTCAAGATGTCGCCTACTCAGAGGTCCCGGGATGGAATCCTGGTGGGGAAAAATCCTGGTGACAAATGTTAGTTAAAACTGTTAATAGTGAAAAATATTCGGAACTGGATGAAACCCATACCAAAAGCAGCAAGCAGGGAAAACACAAAAGAGGAAAAATAAATTACGGGCGATTTGAAGTTGGGAAAGGAGTTGAAGGGTAAACGTTGGGTAAACGGTTTATCGCGATTTTCGGGAAAACTACAACTTCAATCTAAAATATTTCTATCTTAGATTTCTATGTAAAATTTATAGGTAATCAAAAGATCTATAGAGTCTGTGCGGAAAGAGAATGGGATTTAGATTGGAGGGCGCTGTAGTGCTTTTCTACCGTATTTGTAAGGTTTTACCCCTTTTAAACATGATTAAATACAAAAAACCGCAAGAAATCACAACAACAAACAAATCCGTATCAATACAAAACTTTGACGTTTACAGATTGCTGTTTCTAGTAATATTACTTTTCTCTATGGATTGCTGGGTTTGATTGCCAAATAAAAATCATAATGTTCCGTTTTTCGCCATGCCCATTCTCTTTCCGCACAGACAGACTAACTTTTGTATTTACACTTTGTCACATTATCTAAAAATATATGCAAAAAATCATAATAACCGCTTTTTGAGTTTTTTAGTATTATCTCTTAGAAAAAGTCTTTTTTATTTCACTAAATTTGGTTAAAACTACTTAACTAACACTTTCTTATAAATAAAAATAACTAACTATGTGGGTCCATAATTTTCCTTAAAAAGTCTATGCAAATAATATAAATGACTGTCAAATGACTGATTGATGTTAGATAATTTACCAGTAGATGTTTTATTTTAATTACCTTTATCTAGATAAACAAATTTAATTAAAAAAAACTATCAAGTTTACCTACTTTTGTTGTAATCGATGACAGAAGAGAAAGGAGAAAAGGGAGAAGATGAAGATACCATCGGCGTAAATATTTATTCATATTATTATCTAGTTATCAATGTTTTGGTGAGATAGCGTAAACGTAGGTTTGTTTAAAGTAATAATGATTGGGCACAGCGTAGTTTTTGCTCGCAATTAGAGTACCGCCATATATATAGATATACCGCCTATATATACCGCGTATATATATAGGTATACCGCCAGATATACCGCCACATAGCTATAGCCTACACCCTCGCTTCGCGTCGGTGTAGGCTATAGCTTTTTTCCTATTAAATAGCCTACTAGCGGCCGCCCGCTCTAACTTATAGATTTTAAATACTTCAGGAACTTAACACTTTTCCAGGATAAAAGTATTCTATGTCTCTTTTCAGGTTATCTTTAAGTTATCTGTGTGTAAAATTTCATGAAATATCCATTTAGTTATTGCGTGTAATAACAAACATCACAAACTTTTGCATTTATAATATTTGTAGGAAGTAGGATGACACTTAAAAGTAATGGGGCTTGCTATTGGTAAAAGAATTTTTAAAATCGGTTCAGTAGATCCAGAGATTACCTCCAACTTATCAAACTTAACCTCTTAGTGTAGAAGTAGAGATCATCTACACTTTGTTGGTGTAATGTTTTTATTTGTGTTCGAAATGTTGTCCAGAACGAAAAGTTACGAAAGTCTCTCTTATTGTTTAACAGAGCACACTGATTACATGAAGTGAGACTGATGAATTAATTAAAGCTCCTAAGGGAATCTAAAGATACAGTAGTCAGTCGTTAGAAGTACATAGTGCTCTTACAAAAGCTATCGTGTCATTGCCGTCTAGATTTACGTAGGCGGTAGAAATGCAGACGGTGAGCGGCACGGTGAAGGTTGGGCTGTGCTGCCGAATGGAGACTTCTACCAGGGCTGCTACTGCCGAGGACTCAGAAACGGGAAGGGATTGTACGTCTTCAAGAACGGGGCACGATATGAAGGTTACCAAATTAAGATTTCCCGGTCATTCATTGTAGTAGCTAAAGTGGGAATATTGGTATTTCCTATCGCATCAAATTAACATAAGGGAGTACCTTATTGTATCATATCGAGTACCACCACAATATGCAAGCCTCTTTAAAAGGCTGCGTAAGTAGGGTAATTGATCAAATTAGTTAAAAAAAAATATGTCTAGAAATAGGTCCGAGCATGTGAGGTTTAGGTTTGATTATTATGTTAATAACCCTGAAAAGTACCTATATCTAACCAGAGTTATACCCCACTATTAGGATACACGTATAATTATATTCGATACCTTTGGGTAGAAAGGTCGTATAAACCAAAAAGAAACCGAAAAACGTTTATTTTTTACATTAAAATTCATAATTTTTTTGTTTTGAAGTTATAAAAAATGATCTATGAGAAAGGTTCTTACAATCTTCTTTAGTTTTAAAGTTAGCTGGGACTTACGTCTAAGAAAAAATCAATTCTTGCATAATACACCCCATGAAAATGTACTTTAAAAAAACTGTATAGTTCGTATATCCATTTTTGGTAAGGTTATGGTCACATTTACTGTCGTAAAAATGTATGTCCATATATGTAGTTTTTTTTTGTGTTAAAAACCATTTAAAATCATAGATCAATTAATTGACTTCTGATTAATAAACAATCCTGTTACTCCTAGATAGTCGGATTTAAAGTATGTTTAGGTAATGTAGTTAACACGTTAGGGCGTATAAACCATTTACAATTAACGACTATTTTTACGCCCTGAGTTATTATAAATTATGGTCATTATATTATAACAAAACTACAAAAAAAAAACATTCGGCTTTTACATTGAAAATTTACCCTTTTTAAGAGGCTATGACCGAAAATTTCTGGGTCGTATTAATCATTTTTGTGCGAATTTCTGCATTTCGTATATAGGTACAGATCGCTAGAAAAAAAAATTTTGAGAAAAATGGTATATACCTATAACTCAATTTGGCCAAAATGGTTTCTACCTTTCTACCCCAAGGCATCGATATTATAATTTCATACATCATACAAATAACATATCTTTTTTCCTACCATCTTTTCTCCATAATCCAAAAAATCGCAACAATTCGGTGTTAATTCTGATTTAGCAATGTGGACTTCCCCTACTATAAATGCTAGACGCTGTATTCGGAAAATTACTGCGAGATTCCGGCTCTTACGTCTTGTTATATAAAATTCTAAACCAGTACTCTTTGGTTTGTAGAACCATGTTGTAGATAGGTAATAGAACTTTCAGCACGACTGTGTTACCTGCTTTACTTCTTTCTTTTTTTCTAGCTGTTAGATATAAGGACCGGGGTGTGCACAAGTGAAACGAGCGGATGCTAGTTAGGCACGCATTGATTTATCTGACAGAACGACACGACAGTGGTCGCAGGTCGTATGTTACCTTGATGAAATACAATACCCTTCCTACGCATTTGAACTTTCAGGAGAATGGCGACGTGCAATGAAATACGGCACTGGCAACATGCTTTATCCAGACGGCTCGCGATACGAAGGCGATTGGAGACATGACCAAAAGCAGGGCTTTGGAGCTTACTACTACCCAAATGGTGACATTTATGAAGGTGCATGGTTCAAGGGCAAGAGACATGGGCTCGGCACGTATTTTTACGCAGAATACCAGGTCAAATTTATGGGGACATGGGTGGACGGAGTTATCGAGGGACCCGGGCAAATTATATATCCCCGCGTGCGCTTCCACGGTTCCTGGCTGAAAGGCAAACCAAGAGGACCTGGATGCTTTGTATTCGATACGAACTGCATGCAACATGGTTTCTACTTGCTAACAAATGACCCTGCGTTAGAGGAGTATGGAGAAGGTGAGGAGGAAAGAGAGGACAAGGAGATTAAAGAGGAGAGATTAGAGGAAGAAGATGAAGTAGAGATTGATGAAACATATGGTAACTATAACGATTTTTATTAGCATTATTTCGTAAAGCGATTGTGGAGTAGGGTTGACACACAAACGTGTCCAAATTGGCTGGCTGTTGTAACAGGAGGGAAGAGGAAATTTGAACCAGAGTAAGCAAATGACAGCTCATACCAGCGACATATTATAGACAGTTGAAAAGCAAAATCGCTTAAACGCCACTTTAGTAACTTTACAGAAATGTGGATTGTGAATGAGAAGTAGCGCCATTAAAATAAAAACATATTCATAAAACAATATATTCTAAATATCCTCCTATTAAAAAGTTACTTAAACCTTTTGAGAAAATCAAATCAGAGTTACAAGGAACTAGCGTGTGACCCGTTTTCTTTGCGGTCGAGTTTATTTTAGTCTTTATTATTTGCACAGCTAACTTTATTAATCGCACGGAAAAGAGCTCCGAAGTACATATATCCTATCTTAACGTGCTAAATAAAACTGTTTTGTCTTATTATCTTCTTTAATAGTCCCAGGACTCCTATGTCGCCATTGCACCTAATGTAAGGTAAGTCCTGCATGGGTAATAATGTCGCCAAACCTCCTCGACATATTGGATCTGTGACCGATTGCTAGCATAGGGGCATAATGAAAATTGTCCTGGCGTTGACTGTTTGTGTCTATTTTAGGTAAAGTCGCGGTGTGGCGTGCTCGTAATGTGACTGCATACATGGCGGAATTCCTGCCACCGGAACCAGTGCCGCTGCCTGTCCACGACTCTGTACCATCACTCACCGATGAAAGTTTTGAATGTGAGGTTGTCCACTTTGAACCTCCTTCGGTCGCGGTCGAAGAGGAAGGCGCTGACGACAACGACTCGTGGCTACTGCACCGCCAGAAGTTCCTAGAGGAGACTGAACAGCAAAAAGAGGAAGATTGATTGTGGAATAAAGACTGCTAAGATCTTTAATAGGATTTTAATGTTATGTAAGCTGTAATAATTAGAAATCTCAAGGGCGTCCGTTGCCTTAAGCGGGTGCACGGTGCGGACGTCCGCACCGGGTACTATTTCATGTCATCTCTTATAGCAGCGCTGCTTGTGTGAGGTGGGTCTCTCGTCGCACGCAGCTAGCGTTGCCAGGCGTCCGGATTGTCGGACATAGTAAAGCTTTATGATTGCGTGTCTGGCCAAAATAAACAGTGTCCAGCTTTTGTTAGGCTTTTTACATTTCGCAAACGAGCGAGCGCCGAGCGTGGCCGCGCGCAAAAATGAACCTGACTGGAACATCCCGATGGACAAGTAGGTATGATAAACATAAGACAATTCCTGAGCATGTTTAGTCATCGAGAACAGAAAAATTAAGTAATCGTGAAAGATTAATCTTTTATACCTACTAAAGGCAGGATTCACCATGTCATAGTAGACAAAATATCCTTGAAGATTATGCTATAAAAATAAATACTATTCCTAACAAACAAACAATTTGCAGTGTAATTGGACCCCTTTACACTTGAGTTGCAGGAGGAAATTTAGAACTATCGCAATCGCAAGTGTCAGACACTGTTTTGCATTCCTCTATACCTACCAAGGCATAGACCCGGAAAAGGTGGATAGCGCTCTCGGCCTGCGATTGGTTGAAGTGAAACGATTTTCTCAATGGCCACTCATTGCTGTGCTAGCCAAAAAATTCCCATTTCAAGTTTCTCTGTTCTTCGTAAAACATGTTAAGCCTTTGGTCCCGGCTGCATCTACAGTTGTTAGTGCACAATGCGGATACCAAAGCATACTGGGCCAGTGTGGTGGATCATGGCCAATACTCTTTATTCAATCCATAGATTGCTTTATAGTTTCATTTTAAGAAGCAGGGTAATTAATCAGATGGAAAAACATCAGTTAATTGGTAATCTGACTTATTTATTTAGAAATAATTAAGGCTAGTTAAACATAAAAAGACTTCTACAAGTTAAATTAGAATAAGATCTAAGTTGATGATCAATATGAAGAGTAAAAATGATTTTCGAATGTTATATTTATTTCATGAAACCAAGCTTGAACTCTCAAAATTAAATGATAGCAATGGTACAAATTTTTATAACAATCTTTCTATTGAACTAATTTTGTTGTACAAATAGATTGGTGAAACAAATATCTAAGATTATTTCTATTTCTTATTGTTTGAAAGCTTTTGCTCATTAAAAATCTGATATTTGTTTTAAACATTTCGTGCCTAAATATTTCTGATTAGTAGAGGGTAGAGAACATGCAGTTTGAAAACTTTCATGTTTCTCCCATATGCCGCGACGAAGCTTTGGTACTAAAAATGTGCTAAAATACCAGTCAAGCTATCGCCTAGTGTCTATAAACAATAAATATTCCAATAATGATGATGATGATATATGAGTATATTTATATTGAAATACAATTTAAATATCTATGACTGGAGTACAAATGCTCACATTGTATTGATCACACAAACATCTGCCCCTACCAAGATTCCAACCTTGAACCTCTCACAGAATCTCTGGAGTAGGCGACACCTTGAAACCCGGCACACAAACCACTCGGCCGCAGTGGTTTATAGACCCGCAGCTTAATAATTCATTAGAATAGATAGATAAAGACTAATTTTAGTGCATTTGGTATGGTACCAAGCTTCATTGCGCAGGTGTGGGAGAAACTTCAGACATTGCAGAATAGTTTAAACTTTAATGTGATAAATATTCATACAATTCCATCCATGGATGTACTCTGCTTAGTGAAACAAAAACAATAATGAAGATTAGGACTTGCAAAATTCGATTAATTCATTAATCTTTAAGATTTTGTGACAAAACAGTACACAATACATATTCCCCCTTATTAATAAACAAATAATAAGCTGAGCAAGTTACGCTGTGTTTTGTTCATGTCACTCAAATGCCATTTGTCATTTGATGAACAGAGACAAAACATGGAGTAAGTAATCTAAGCTTATTCTAAGTTTATTAATAAGGCGGATTGAAATTAAATAGTTTTATTTTTGCACAATAATATTTTTTGTCATCATATTGAGTTACTTTGGTTTTGAGATCTAATTGTCACAATTTTTTTTACCATTTGTGGCAACTGCTTTAAACCTCATTTGGATCGACAACTAACCTAGAATTTACAAATTATCATGTAGATACTTTGTCATTATAATTCTTGGTACTTACATGTTTGAAATTAAATTATAAAATAATCAAAGTTAGCTTTGTGGATTTTGTGGAGGATTGTTGTTAGTTCCTGAATTATTGTTTTCAAATGTTGTTTTATTCTTGAGCAAGTATGCAGCGAGGTAATTGATGGGATCCGGTGGTCGCTCCTTAGCCAATGCTGACAGTCCTTGCAGTAATATTGGAACAACAGTTTGGTCTAAGTATTGGCGAGTGGGTAGTGCATTTAGATCAATTCTAGATTTGCGACTTGCATTTGTTTCATTTTCTTTTTCCATTGCTATTATTCTCTGAAAATACATAAAATAACAAGTTAATGACTACACAATTGCTCACTAAGGTTATGCCGCAATAATGTCACCATAACTTTGTAAACATAAACAACAGTTAAATGAACTGTTATGATTTTATTACTATATGTTTGCATTGTTTTTATAAAAGTTCAACCTACGTTTTTTTATAAAAATAAGTTCTAACAATAACATGAAAATAAACTAACCCTTACTGATTCAGGTATTCTGGACGGAGGCTTTTCTTCCTTAGGTTTTGTTTGCAGTGAGGTTTCTGACATGAGTTGCAGTTACAGCTTTAGAGTGGAAGAATGATAAGAGAAGAAATATGGTAGGGTTTTAAAGTGCGAAACTATATTGTAAATACCTTTCTGTTTAATTCGCAGGAAATCAACAATCCATATAAATTTTCAATCACAAAATTGATTTGAACTGTCACTAGGTTTGCAAAGATATATCGAGTAACCGATTATACCGGTGATATAGACAACATAATCGATATGTTCATAGAAATTAACATTGCCAAACACAAAAAAAAGATTTTTGGAAGGGTACATTTAGAAGTATTTTTTATTATATTGATTTTTTACCTGCGATTTCTATATAAGTCTTATCAAATATCTATAGTTGTGCTGTAAACTTGCAAAAACCCAGAAGCGCAAAAAAGTAAAAAAAATGTAGTCTTGAATGGAACTTAGCTGAAATCTTAACAATGGGCTTGATATGATGTTGTTGCTGTTTTTATCCAATTGAACGACCCATCCGATGATCCCATCCCACTTGCGCCATTGAGATCTTCTTAGCTTAGTATACATATCCTACCATTATTATAAATATGAAAGTTTGTTACTCAATAACGCAAAAACGACTGAATTGATTTTGTCTAGACAAATTAATTATCACATTCAGTGCAGGGTAAGCGTTGCATACGGGTGCACCGGTCTCAGGGGGCACCGAACGTCATTTGCCACAATTCATTTCAACAGTGCGCTTACTAGAGAACCACCCCTACTTTAATGAAGTCAGTTTTTTGTTGTTACCTCGCCTCGCATACTTCTACCCGCATCGTACTTACCTCACACGACGAACTCGCCGCAATCCATAGCGACTTTATGAAATGCGGCGCTGATTGCTGAAATATGTGCGATCACCTTAAACCAGTACATAGATTACAGTTACAGCGAACGCGAAACGCAGAACATGGAACTAACCGTTAGACCGTATGCAGTGGAATCGACCCCTAATGTTTACTTTTGAATAAACATTCTCATCTGCGCTACGTGCAAACATTTTATCAATCTATTTTAAAAGGAAATTATTTAAATGACCCTCAAAAAAAAAATAGGTAATGATCGATCAAATAATTGGTAAAAGTAAGTTAAAAAGATTACCAATTGGTTTTTCTGCGGATCAATTACTTTTCGTTGATCATTAAGGTTTTTGGTAAAAACCCTAATGATCAATGAAATTTTATGGTAGCTTTCTGAATTGCCTAGTTATTATAAAGCTGTATCGATTATTACATACAGAAAATATCTAAATATCGCGTTGTCATGAGGATATATCGAATTTCAATTTTTACCTAACATCGATTTAATTAACGTTTTTCAAATAATCGCGTCCCTATCTGTCACTCATTTTATTTTGTTAATTTTTCCTAAAAGACAAGGCAAAGACCAAGCGATACAGCCTTGTCGGAACTATTATTGACGATACTATCATTCCAACGCCCCTATAATAAACGTGGAATAAGCTTAAACTAGTTACGCTGTGTTTTGTTCGTGTCAGTTAAGTGTCATTTCTAATTCAATAAACAAATACAAAGCATAGAGTAACTAATCAAAACTTATTCTTAATTTATTAAGGGATATTTTTAAATGTACAGCAAATTAATAACTTATTACCCATCAAGTCATTTACAGCAATTAAATACTTTTTACATCAAAATAATTACTTTACTGCAAACAAAACATTTGTTGAACAAAACTAGTGCTGAAAATAATTCAAAAATATATATCTAATCTTGTGATTTTCATATCAAATATAGATGGCCCGGCAAATATACTGAATGCACAGCAAATATACCGATTGCATAGAAAATTAACTTGGGTTTCGACGCAAAATACTCACACTCATAACAAAACAACTATTTCTGCAACAGTGGAAACCTGTTGCAAAAAAGAAATTGTTATTAATTTAAGAATATTTTGAGGTGAATACTTTGCTGTGCAATAAGTAATTTTGCTTAAGATTGGGAATTATTTTTTATACAAAATGTGTTTTTTTTTAATTTGCAGTTAAATACTAGCATTAATAAAGGGGAAGAAAATCATATTCACTGAAACCCCCCTATAATAAACGTGGAATAAGCTTAGACTAGTTATGCCGTGTTTTGTTTATGTCACTCAAGTGCCATTTCTAATTCAATAAACAAATGCAAAGGATAGAGTAACTAATCCAAACTTATTCTTAAATTATTAATAAAGCGGAAGATGTATGACATCATTGTTATGAACTTATTTGAACTAAACATTTGAGAATGTGAGACAACGAGGTTCTAACGGCAGTTAACTTTTTTATTCTGATCATAGGAAAGGCTTGCGCTCCATCAGACGATGATCGAAGAAAGGTACAATAAGATATCATGACGAAAATTTTTACGTCTGTATAAAACAAAGTTGATTCTCCGCCTCGAAGGATTGCCATACTAGTTATTATTAGCGGAAAAAACATTTTAGATTAATTAGTTCATTCATCATTGAACTTCATTTGAACCTTCATAACACGAACTATGGTGTTATGAAGACTTTTACTTTATGGAACCTACATAGCGTAATTTACTGAAGTCAAATTAAGCTATTGTTTTCTCACCAGAATTTGAACTGCTTAAGATGTTCATTATTTGTTTAACAAAAAAAGGCTTATAATGCCAGTATTTCACATGGCTGTTTGTATTTGCTATTTGTAAACTTGACAACAGTCTCTGTTTTTCCTTTAAACACTTTTTTTGTGTTTGTGGCTTTCACAGTTTCCCACAGAAATTTCGCCAATGTCCCGTAGTAAGAGAGACACGAGAAAAACTGCTCGGTAGAAACTGATTATGGCGGTTTATAGACTTCTAAATAACCGAATATTCGATCACATTGAGCTGTTCACATTCTAAAAGCAACACACACACACACACAAAGACGTCACAGGTAAATTAATAATAATTTACCTAACATGGGTAGAGCCAAACAATTATTTTAAAATTAAAAATAGAAAGGCTATTGATAACTAAAATTTGATGTTGTATTTTTTTATATATTTACATAAACACTGTCTTTAAATGACAAGCACAACCTGCTGTCAAAATATCAAAAAGCAAATACGAATAGCCATGTGAAGTACCGATATAAAACTGATTTTGGCAATCATACGAATTCAGGCATATTCTACCAAATTTCTAACCTTTGAGTTGATATCCATACTAACAGAAGCTGGATTATTGATTATTTGTAATTAGTTGACACTCCTCATTATCCAGTAGTGTAAATATATTCAGCTCTATGGAAAGAAAACAACACTTTTTATTTAAACCTTTTAATCTAACAAAAACCTTAGAGCTAAACTTATTTATAGTTTACACACGATATACAAATAAGAAACACACTTTAAAATTGCAGTGAAACTCATTTCAGAGTGAACAGAACACAATTCATGTCAACAAAATACTTCCTAACTTTTTAAGATTGTAGTGACTTGCTTGATACAAAACATCATACCTGGAGTACCTATTCTAATCGCTGCATTAAAATTATTTTAATAATCTTATTTAATGTTAAGACCAAATTATCAACAAAAACAATAAATAAGGATTATTAATGATGGAACGAATCTTGTAACTACATTTTACACCTTTGTAATACATCTCTACAATATTATCGATTCTGGGATAATTCCCTAAAGCTAAACTTAAATTTGACAACAGTGTATCCTTGTCATTCTCTATACAGAATAAAAGGGACAGACTGATGTTAAATTAAGTTTTAAGTTTAGAGAATCCTGCCAGAATCGACACCATTGTTTGTAACAGATAAAATTCTGTACCAAAAAAAGTGATTAATAAAATCATGTAATCTATGTTGTTATCACACATAGTACTTTCAGTATAAACTTAACTGAATCATAAAACTTTATTGGCGTATTTGAGTGAGGCCGTGAATGTTAAAACTTGAGAGCTGTGCTTTAAGTTAGCTATTATTCATTATGAGTCTGTTAGCTATTATTCATTATGAGTCTATATATAAGGATCTTTGTTTGCAGCAAAAAAATTCAATACTGTCAAATTTCTTCAACTAACTTTGAGCTTTAGTTACTATGATATAAGATTGACTGTTGATCGAGACTGTCATAATGTCGTCAACTGACATTTTTCTAAAATAACAAGTTAATTCAAACAATGCAGTTAAAGACTTAAGTACGGTCAATAAATTAGAAGCGAGAGTTAGCAGAAGTGTTCATTCAAGCCGTGCGTGTTTCAGTCAAAATCCTTAATTTAATACATTATTAAAAAAAAAACGTATTTCAAACGTTCTTTCTTGCTGCTATTCTATAAAAAATAAGTTTTTTTTTTATTGAGAAAACTTAGTTAGATTCCTTATAAATGGTATTCCAACTTAAAAGTATACGATACTATTACACAATTAGACCAAAAAAGAAAAACTATTAAAAAAAATGTGGCACAGAAATCTGGCTAGCAGAAATTATACATTATGTAAATTCATTGTTATTATTATTAAACACTCTACTTTATCTTTCACATTTGATTTTAAACATTTAGTTTTTGGGATAATCCTGCTGTTTATTTATAGATAGCGCATGCAATAGAAACGCACACAATGAGGGTAGTTGTATCAGCGGCGCTGTCAATGTGAGTAGTTTCGAAAGTACCATTAATTGAGATTTATAATTTTGCATTATATGTGTTTCTAAAACACCGGGTGGTTGAAGAAGAAGCGCGCAAATTCCCCGGAACATACAAATATATAAAGGGACGTACGTGTTAGTCTCCAGTATAATTAAAAGCAAATAATAATTCTTTCACTCATCAACAAGGTAGTAACGACGTCCTTGGTTCATGAAGCATGTCACTGTCAATTCATAGCGTTTGAAATTTTTACCGGTAAAACATGCAAAAATTTACAGGAACATAAATAACGTACTTTACTTGCCGAGTTACTTGGTATTTGAGGAATGCTCTAAAATTTTTAAGACATTGGACGTCCTTGCAATTTTGCACTGCATAGGGTCCCGTGAATAATACCTCAAGTGTTAATACACTCATATACAGGACATACACACAGTGATCCTCAACAGGGTTTTTGTAGAACATAAAATTATGGAAACTAATCTAGAGCTTGATTTATGGTAAGCTGTTTAACTTTATATTGGGTTAAATATAATAATAATTATAAATATTTCCGACACTCACACCAATTAGCCTAGCCCCAAAGTAAGCACTGTAAGGCTTGTGTTATGGGATGCTAGGGTAACGGATAGAATACATGTACAGTACATTATAGAAATACATATTAAACATCCATGACTGGAGTACAAATGCTCGTATACATCACACAAATATCTGCCCCCACCGGGATTCGAACCCGGGACCTCTCGAGTCGGCGACACCATGAAACCCGGCGTACAAACCACTCGACCACGGAGGTCGTAAATATTTATCGCTTATGTATGTCTAAATAATATTATCAACAATTTGTTAGTTATCGTTTGAACAATATTTAATAACTTGATTAATATCTATCATCAAGGTTAATATGGAATTTGATTTCAACTTAATTTATCATGGTTTTATTATTTTTGCCTATATATAAACTTAATATGTTTTGTTTATAAATTACATGTTATAATTTCTCATTATCACATAGCGTTCCACAGTGTTTTATGGAACCAAAAAAATTTACACCTTAAGATTTTTGCATAAATCAATTATTTATACCCTAATAAAGGCAAGAGTTCAATTCTCAGATCACTATTTCCATTAAAAAAAAAGATATCAAGTAGCAAAGTTTTTGAAATTTGAGTTTTAAAAAATTAACAATTTAATTTCCTCAAAAGACGGTTCCATATCTGTACATGAGATATTTGCCACTTGATAAGGAATTATTGAAGGCATAATTTTGCAATTTTATTTTATTTATAAGTGTCCTAGTTTCCGAGAAATATATTTTTTTTAAATTTCGATTTTTAATTTTTTTCTCCAAATATCGGCAAAAGTGGAACCTGGATTTAGTACAGAAAGGTTCTATAAGCCAAGTTCTATCACCCATAAAAAAATCAGGTTTCACTTTTGCGGTTTTAAGAAGTTATGACAGAATTTAGATAAAGGTCAACTTTCATGATCTAGGATTGTCACAAAGGTCAACTATGAGTTAAATGAAAATGTTAAATTTTTTGTTTGTTAATTAATACCGTCCATCAATTGAATAAATTAACAACACTTGTGGACGAATACAATATACTTACATATACTAGGTACCTACCTAATGTAGATGTGATAATGTAGGAATACTTCATGTTTGTTCGACCACATTTTAACTTTGTACCTTACACGCTAAACGGTAACGAAAAAATGAACTATGTTGCTTGAAAAAAATTTCAAAATTCATTCAGAATCATTCAGGCATTCGATCAGAAAATAAAAACAAATCTTGGGCATAAATCAGTTAGTAGGTGTAACTATTATTGTTACAAAAAAAAACGTAGAGGTAAGCAGGCATGAACTTGTGTCTAATTGGGTCTCCAAAACACACACAAAACAAACAATTAATAGTTAATACTCAGACCCGAAAACGAAAATCGATATTCATTATAATGACTTCCGCCTTGACTGGGAATCACCATAAGCGTTCCTTTTTTGCAAATAGAGCTTGGAGCCCATAAAAATATGTTAAAGGTACTGTAGTAAGTTCCTAAAATCTACATTATTGTAAACTCGTTCAAAACTAATACACAAATTTATATTTTAAAAATTTTCGCTCGAGGTCAGGTTCGGTGTCAACCCTAGCATAAAAATTTAAAAATTAATATCTTCTAATCGCCGCAAAAGTGACACGTGGCTTATTTATGTATGATAGACCACATCCGTAGGTTTATTTCTATCGAAGTTCTAGGTTCCACTTTTTTGTTTTTAGGGAGAAAAAACAATAAATACGAAATACAAAAAAAAAATTGCTGCTCCCAAACCAATGCATTTTTTTAAGCTAAAGAAACGCGTTTATACGCCTGTGATTATGCCCGATTGACACATATTTATTAAAAAAATATATTGTCAATATTCACTTTATAAAAAAATATTCTAGATTTCATAGGTCAAAGATCACGATAAGTTCATGATTTTTTTTCTCAAAAAGTATTTGAGTTAGACTTCTGGGAATTGAACTCATGCCTTTTTTAGGGTATAAATAATCTATTTATGTAAAAACCTGAACATGTAAATTTTTTCGGTTCCATAAAACACTGTGCGTTCGTTTATTCTTTCACCAGCAGATAACAAACAGGTCTTCAACCACGCTGTGTGTTTCAGAAACACATAATAATACTGTTTTGCATTCCAACAAAACAAGATATTATGTGTTTGAGAAAACACACAGCGTGAGCAAGTTTCTTGCAGGTCATTTCTGAAGACTATGAATTGACAGTGACAGCTGTCACCGAGATGCTTCATGGACCAAGGACGTCGTACTATTCAGACATGTTGATGGGTGAAAGAATTATTTGTTTAATTATACTAAAGACATACACGTAAGTCCCTTTATATATTTGTATGTTCCGGGAAATTTGCACGCTTCTTCTTCAACCAGTGTGTTTTCTCGCACATAATAACTGTTTTGTTGGAATGCAAAACAGTTTAATTATTAATATACATATAATTTTGTAAGATGGTATGAAGAAGTTACAATCTTCAGGTTCGTGGCGGTAACGTTCTGAGGATGTCAATATAGTTAGTTTCAGATCTACCTTCATTTGAGTGATAATGAGGATCCGTAACGATTTTAGTTGAGAATGCAGATTTATAGAGCTAAGGATTCCGTAAAATACAGTGGTAATTTTTTTGTTCTACGACAAATATTGACGAAGTTATGACTACTAAACGAATTTTCGGCTGGCCGCTTGGTCGCTGTGACGTCACAGCGCTCTAGCACTCGGGCGCGAGCGTGCGACGAGAAGCTACTGAAGTTCGACCGGAGTGAACCGCGGTCGAGCTCTGTGACGTCACACGTTTCGGCGGCCGGTGAATAGTAGCTACAATTAAAAAAATCATTATAGAATCGCAACCCAGGTGAGGTGAGGGGCATTGTTTAATTTTAAGTGTCTAGAACACTCCCTCATTAGCAGTCGTTAATCCAGTCCTTTAGGCTAGTTGAGCTGCACGGCAGAGAAAAGGAGTTCTGCATAACTTCGCCAGCATTTCCCAGTGGCGGGATATATCAGCATTAAAAAGAGGTGGTATATATTACAATCTTCACGTTCGTGGGTAGGTAGGTTTACGTTCTGAGGTAGTGTGGCGGCGGCGGAGGCGGCGGCGCGGGCCTGAGACGCGGCGCGCGTTCTAGCTGCCGTCGCCACGAAGCCATCGCCTCGCTGAGCGTCCACAGCTCTGACAGAAGCGACAAGTCCAACTGACGGAGACTCGCCTGGAAAAAGGAATTAGAAAAACTTTAATAATCATCATCATCACCAGTCTATGGATAAAATACACCCTATGGTTGAAATAGCAAGATCGCCAATTACCCATCACGCGGGCCTATTGCTGATTGGTGCGTGCTAACGACTGCAGATGCAGCCGGGACCAACGGCTCAGGCGGAACAGCTCGAGATAGTAAATTTTTGGTCACCCATCCAATGTGAAAGTTGTTGAACTTCAACAACCGCATCCGAACGCGCTAACCACTTGCGCCATCCAGCTCCTCTCATCTTCTTCAATTTAGAGTCTTATTCATTTAGTGAACTGAATTTAGCTTTATATAAGGCAAGAAACTCTGCTGTAGTTCCAAAACAAACTCTGTCTCTTGCTAATCTTGACAACTCCTCACAACAATAACGAAGAAAACGAAAGTAATAGGTAGATGTTGTAAAACATATACTGTCATTAAAATGGGAATTGGTAGGTCACGTTTGAATAGTCAGAATGACTAATAATTGGTGCTCATTCTACATCTATAAAAATAAAAAGAAAAAGAAGGATTTCCTTCTTCTCATCTTAATCATAGAGGGATGAAGATATCGCCGATGGAGCACTGCTGTGTTAAGATTACCAAATATTTAAATTTTAATACTTAATTAAATATGGATGATAATAACTTTTTTTCTTCACCTATCAGGTAGATTTATAAAAAGTATTGGGGTATTTATATTTATATATATATATTGATTTGAAATGTCGCATGACGTTGTTGGTCAAATTTTTACTTATAATTGACGTCACGGACAAAATAGCTAATAATACTTATCACTAGTATTTATAGGTAGATAATTTCTGAAATTATGTAAAGATAGTTTAGATAGTACTACCATTTCATATAATATCTATTTATTTTTATATAACCAAGTGATATAGTGATAACCAGATACAGACCTAATTACCAATAATAAAATATAGAAATAGGTAAATGGAAAGCCTTTAAACATTTCATTTGAAAAGAAATGTATTATTAAACAGGAAGTATAGGTATTAAAGGTGCCAACTGCCAATATTCATAAATCAATATGAATATGAGCATTTATTATTAGTTGCCTTTTATGTTCATTAAATTCATATTATTTAAGTGCTTACATAGAGGTAAACAATAAATCTATTCAGAATATATGTATAAAGTGTACATCGTTAAGATTAAGTATAATAATTATAACCTTAAAATCATATACATTCTGTAATAGGCCACGGTCTTTCATTCAAATCAGTTTAGCCGTTTTTGCGTGATTGAGTAACTTATTCGACTATTTCATAAATCCAGAAAAATATTAGAAGTCTAAAGGTGATACAAGCAATTAAAAATCATCACAATAGTGAACGACCATGGACTTATTACTAAAGAATTCGTGAGAGAAATATGGCTTTTAAACACAAATATAAAACCCGACAGTGATAGATGAAGGTTGTTTTTTTAACATGCTTTCAATCTTTAATAGTATCATAATCAGCCTATTTATGGCCCCACTGCTGGGGCTAAGTTCTTCCCTATGGATTGAATAAGGAGATTGGGCCATTAGCATTGCCCACCACGCGGATCTAGTGCGGATTGATGGGTGCTAACGAATGCAGACGCAGCCGGAACCAACGGATTAACATGCCTTCCGAAGCACGAAGGAACTCGAGATAGTAAATAATTGGTCACCCATCCAATGATCGACCACTGCGAAAGTTGCTTAATTTCAACGATCGCAGCCGAACGCGCTAACCACGTGCACCATCGACTCCTCATCCTTTTTTTATATATATTTTATGAAATTTAAAGTTCATGTTTGTACAGTATTGTCGATTCATCATGAATAGGGCTGCTCGATCTGAAGATATTGAAATGACCACAGTCACAAAGGGGTGTGTTGACATTTACTTTTAGAATTCGTTTCGCAACATCGCAAGCAAATGGAATGTTTTGCTCCCTGCACTTGTAAAGGCAAACCGCAGACAAGAATCAACTTACAATAAGTTTGATCGACCTTCGCTGTGTTTTGGTTGCGTTAGTTCGGAATGCAGCGCGATCACGATTCGATATAGGCCACAGAAATGGTCGAACTGTCATTTGACACAGTACCAATCATGACTAACAATAAATAAATGTGATTGGTCGTTTGCTACAGATTTAAAATTTCAATAAAAATCAAATAAACAACGACCGAGAGAATAGGGATGATGACTAATTTTTTTTTCTTCGTTTATCAGGTAGATTATCAAAAAGTATTGGACACGTATTTTTTCTTTTTTCACTTAATATAAACATTGCAGATATATATTGATTTGAAAAGTCGCATGACGTCACGTTTGAGTACACTTATAAGAGAAAATTCACTCAAAAGTGACGTCACGAGCCCCTACTCCCAAACTTTGACGCGCTATAACTTTGTCATTTTTTGGTTGATTGCCCAAAGAAAAAATACGTGTCCATTATTTTATGATCATCTAACTGACGGACTTAATAGAATTTCGTTTACAGTACCCCGTCATCACCCCTATTGTTTAAAAAATCATCCAAATCTTACTTAATGCTAACGAGTTATCTGAACGTCAAACGATTGACAAGGGAAAAAAGAGACAATGAATATTTAAGATGATAGTATTGACTCGCGATTCGAAACTGAAATCGCGTGGCTTCGGCTTGGGTATGCGCAGGAAAAGAGGGAAAGTGAGCAATTCTTTTACGCTTAGCCGGAGATGTAATGAACGAGTTTTATCCGGCCGAGTAATTCACTGACATCGCGACACGATCAAACGCACAGATACAAGAAGTCAGAGATTAACTGCGCAAAAAAAATGAAAGCCTAAAACCTATAGGAGGTGTTCTTACCCCTCGATTACACCAAGGTATAATACATGTTAACAAATTTTATACAATGTCTTAATTTTTTGTTCACAATGGTATCGATTCTGGCATGATTCTCTAAACTTAAAACTAAATTTAACATCAGTTTCTCCTTTTCATTCTGTAAAGAGAATGACAAGGACACACTGTTGTCAAATTAAAGTTTAGGTTTAGAGAATCATGCCAGAATCGACACCACTATACATGTATACAACATGTAGTGAACAATATTTGTATCAAACTTGTTGGAGAAACCATATATGTGAAGTAAGTAAGTCATTAAGATACTGTTGCCTATGCAGTGTAAACGAAAGAAGGTTTTAAACAGCCACAACAAGCATTCTACAAGTTTTGTTTAAAACTATTATACGACTTGTTTCTTGGTGGAAACGTGTGGTTAGCATATCAAGACAAGAGCATGAGTAGTATTAAATGGCTAGTATTTAACTGCAATAAAAAAAAATACATATAAAAAATAATTCCCAATCCTAAGCAAAAATACTTATTGCACAGCAAAATAGTCACCTCAAAATATTGTTATATTCGTAACAATTTAAATTCGTGATGCAACGCTACTTATTTAAAACATAAGCTATTTTTAAGAATGCATTGCTAATAATAACCACCTCACAACAAATATATTACATATTTTTTTTAAACAAAGCTGCCATATTTTAATCTCATACAGCAGTTTACCTAAGTGAAACACCATTTTAATTGACATAAGAATTTAATTATTGAAGTAAAACTTCTTTAGGCACGCTTGACTTGGGGGGTAAACTGGCGAATGTGTTACGATTTCGCGTTACGATTAGGGTCATTAGTGACTCATCGGTAAACAATGAACAATACCCGTCACAAAATACATGAATCTAGTGGTTGGTGGGTAATAACGGACCTAGCGCGGATTGGTGGGTGACAACGGATCTAGTGCGGATTGGTGGATGATAACGGACCCAGTGCGGATTGGTGGATGATAACGGACCCAGCGCGGATTGGTGGATGTTAACGGATCCAGTTCGGATTGGTGGATGTTAACGGACCCAGTGCGGATTGGTGAGTGATAACGGACCCAGAGCGGATTGGTGGGTGATAATGGACCCCAGTGCGGATTGGAGGGTGATAACGGACCCAGCGCGGATTGGTGGGTGATAATGGACCCCAGTGCGGATTGGAGGGTGATAACGGACCCAGCGCGTATTGGTGGTTTTTTTTCTATCAACAAATCTTCAGGTTAAGGTTATAATTATCAGATCATTGGAGCTAAAGAAGTTTCACTTCAGTCGTGTGGTCATAAGCACACTCGCTTTATTTTTATAACCGTCAAAAGTGTCCCAATGTTGAGCAAGTTTTGAAATGTTTAATCTCAAATCTGTTGCAAAAATAGTTGTTTTCACTCGTAAAGTGTGAGTATTTTGCGTCGAAGCCCTGGTTAATTTTCAATGCAATCATTATATTAGCTGTGCAATCAGTATATTAGATATGAAAATCATATTTCTGTACAATGATACAAGTTTTTTGTTACTACAGATTAGGTGTAGATATATTTTTAAATTATTTTCAGCACTAGTTTTGTTCAACAAATGTTTTATTTGCAGTAAAATAATTATTTTGATGTATAAAGTATTTACTTGCTGTAAATGACTTGATGGGTAATAAGTTATTTGCTGTGCATTTAAATATATCCCGTATTAAATGTAAGTTATGTAGCTGGCGACGATCGATTGAACTGAAGTATTAATAAATTTAAATTTACCGTCGACTGGGAACGAGAATGTGTCGATGACCGATTGACCAAAGGATGCTTCAATGAATTTTTATTAGAGGTAATCTCCTGGTTTCAAAATGGTCAATCATTGTGAGGGCTCGATTTAAGGCAGGGCAGGCGTGGCATAGGGCATAGGGGCCCTCAAAAATCAGGGAAACCCCCACAACATAGAAAAAAGGCAAATAAAAGAAATTTAAACAGGGGGGGGGGGGTCCGCTCCTTCGTTGCCCTAGGGCCCCCCACCTCTAAATCTGGCCCTGTTTATTGTTCATGTTTATATTCTTATCGTATAAATTAGATAAGTCAACTCTTCTAGAGCGCGTCTAGTGCATTAATTTGTATGATA